CTGGTGGCGGGTGTCCCGGCGCGGGTCCGGACCGTCTGCTGCCATCACTCCCCTCCCGGCTTAGGGACGCGGCCTCCTGTGCCTGAGTCCTCTTTCCGTGGCTGCCTGGCTTGCCCTAAGTCCGCCTGTGTCCGAGACCGAGCGAGGTCTCGCGTGGCTTCCCGGAGCCGTGACCCCCAGTCACGTGCATGGTGCAGGCTGCGGGACCTGCACTCAGGTTTTGTCCTGGTTTCGTGGCCTGGTGCAGCTGTACTGTGCGATCCCACTTAACTCTTGGTTTTTCGATGCTTCCTGCATTACACTTCATCTCATTCCTCCTTGCTGCCTGCCATCCGCTGGCTTCTTGATTCTGATACATGGTGTTATGTCTCAGCTCTCCTGCCTCCACCTCTCAAATGTTGGGGTGGCAGGCGAATGTCAACACCTCACCTTCACACGCACACGCACACTTTTGGTGGTCCGCCTCCCCACCGGCATCTTGCTGTTCTCGCTGACCCCACATTTATCTGTACATAGGTTTACCAGACATTCAGCCCGTGAGTGCTGGAGTGGGGGTGTCCTAGACCTGGTGGGCTAGCCTGGGAGAGAAGAGGGAAACCGAGCAGCTCAGGATCCTTCACTAGAGGCATCCAACACAAAGATGAGTAGAAGCCTGGCACAGTGGCCCAGGCCTGTATTCCTTTTACTCAGGGGTAGGAAGACTGGAAGTGCAAGACCATCCTCTGCTAGTGGTGAGACCTTCTCTCAGAAAGCCAAAACAAATCGTCAGACAATAGCCATGTTTGGTCAAGAAGGCCACTAGTGTTGTTAGAAGGCTTATGGGTAAGATTCAGCCTGTCACGGGCAGAGTAAAAGTATGCTAGCAAAAGTATGTTAGAGTGTTTGATTCTTTGAAGGCTCAGCAGGACGGCAGGGTTGGGAACTAAACAGATGTGTGTTTCTGGAAGGTCCCTCTTGGCTGCAGTGTGGATTATTCGAGAAGAGCCCTGGGGAGGCAGAGGTGGAAAAGGGAAGACCGGAAGTGAGAATAAATTAAAATTCTTAAGTGTGTCAGGACCTTCTGGTTTCAATTTTCCTGTCTTTGGTGAAGAGGGAACTCCATAGTCTAGAGAGACAGCTCAGCAGTTAACAGCACGTACAGCTCTTGGAGAAGACCTCAGATTGATTTCACAGCGTCATGACAGTCTAACAGCCTGTAGCTCTAGCTCTAGGGGATCAAGCACCCCTTTCTTGCCTCCTGTGGGGGCACCTGCATTCATATGTACAAACCCACACAGAAACAAACACAAAATTTAAAACAGCCCGGCGGTGGTGGCACACATTTTTAATCCCCAGCACTTGGAGGCAGAGGCAGACTGATCTCTGTGAGTTTGAGGCCAGCCTAGTCTACTGAGAGTTCCAGGAGCCAGGGCTACACTGAGAACCCCTGCCTCAAAATAAATACATGAATAAAAAACAAACAAATCTTAAAGAGTGGGATTGGGCTCTGGGGCTTTCTCACCTCTTTGTTTATATTTCCGTCTAGCATCACTTCAGCAGGTGATAATTCCTCCTGGTTTCTGTCTCTCAACATGGGGAACAGTGTTACAGTGAGTAGTTAGCCTGACAGCTCAGCTTATGCAAATGTTGCTGATGGCTAAATTTCTAGAAGAATTGCTGAGTCGTTATAGGACATCCTGTAGCGAGGTCACACATGTGTATAGCCTCATCCCTCAGGAGGCTGGGGAGGTAGGGTTCTGAGCTCAAGGTCAGGCTTTCTACTCAGTAAGACTTGGGTGTCAAAACAAAACCGAAGTGTTTTCGACACCTAACCTTTTAAAACTCAGTTGCATTTTTAAGGGTCCCACAAATCTGCAAGCCACGAGCAATAATGGAAACAAGCCCCTCTTCCTTTCTCTAGGCTGCCACCAGGATTCCTTCTTCAGGAGATCGTGAGGTGACGGTGGGGCTGTTACACTAACAGAGGGGTTCCCCTCCCCCACCCCTCTGCTGGCTTTGCGCGCCGTCCTCTCTGCCCTCTTTCCCACACCTACATGGCAGGACTATGCCTCTTTTTCTGACATGTAGGTGGAGCTGGAATTGGGACTGTGGGGTGTCAGCAGCCTTCAGAGGGCAAGCTGGAGAGGAGTGAGGTGCCACCCCCAAGCCCCAGTGTTCTCTGTAGTCACAGTTCTGCATCGGTGGAGCTGGAATTGGGACTATGGGATGTCTGCTCCTGCTGCCTCCAGGAGACAGGCAAGAGATCTGTGCAGCGCTGTTCCCCAAGCCCGGACAAGCCGGGGAGCTGTGTGTGATGTCCCTCATGCCAAGGTGCCCTCTGCAGCCACAGTCAGTAGATTGGGGACTGCCTGTGTGGTGCCTTTTCACAGTTGAGAGGGAGCCCTGTCACAGAAAATGGAAATGACAGCTACCTCCTGTAGATTCCAGGCCATCACCAGTAGCAGGTGTGATCCCATGGAAGCTAAGGTAGAATGATAGCACTTACCTCTTACCGAGGCTTAAAGAAAAACCTCTCTCCTAAGGAGGTGATAGATAGTTGGTGGAAGGTTTGGGATCTTCCACACTCCCAAGAGAATGCCATTGCTTTCATTTTTAACCCATTACCACGGCCTCAATTTGGACATAAATTGCTCAGAAACCTCAAATCTCTGTATTTTTTGAATCATGTCCCATCCTTCTTTAAACAGAACAAAACCAAACTTCCCTCTTGTTTAAATAGATCCACTGCCCAGGCTCCTACACAAGACCAGCCCTTCCCCTGATACTCTGAGTCCTGTATCCCCTCCATGAGACTGTCCCGGCAGGATGAAAGATACTGTACAGAGAGACATTTGTCATTTTCCATGGTCTGGTTGGCCTCAAACTAAAATCCAGCTAAGAACCACCAGGCTGTGAGACGGTCCCGCCTACTGCTGGACTTGGCCAGCTTAAATCAATTATCAATCAGGACAACCCTCACAGATAACAACTTCCTGACCAAGACTGCTTTCTCGGGTGACTCTGAGATGTGCCATGTTGGCAATAAGTGGTAACTAGGACCCTGCATGTTGGAGAAAGGAGGAAGCCGAAGCCTGTGCCCACTGGAGGAGGAACTTGTCTCTTAGAAGAGATTTCACACAGTTCTGTCGACTTCAGACCACCTCATAGAGTCCTTAACTAAGACTTAACTAAGACTGCTGAGTTGTATTACCTCCCGCCCTCTGTCCTGACCCAGGCCCCCTGTTAGTGCTGCAAAGGAGGTGAGGGAGTCAACGTGCTCAATGCTCCAGTCCAAATGTGGCCACACTGGGTGTGGCCTCCTCCCTCCACTTCTCAGTGCTAGTCTCTCTCAGTGGCGCCCTGCACTGGGCGTGGGTGGGTGGACCTAGCTTTTTAAGGCTGCCAGAGCCCAGGCTTTGACCCCTGACCTCTCCACCTGGGCCCTGTTTTCTGCTAAACACCAAGTCGTCTCTACTAAGACGCCAAGACACTTCACCACACCACCAGGTTCTAGGGTCAGTAGTGGCTTCTGTTTCGCCTGGCAGCATCTTCTGGGTCCTTACTCTTGGCTTTCCAACACTTGCTGCTGGTCTCTGTGATGTTGCGCTGCCCCAGGTTACCCCCAACTTCATGGGCCATATGCCCTCGGCTCTGTGTCTGGTGTGGAGGTTGCTCATCTTTACTTCTTTAATTTCTCGAGTAGATGTGTGAACAGGTTGTCTTTTTCCCACTATAATTCCACGGTGTCCACAAATCCACTCAGTCTACATCCCTAATCTAGGCAACCCCTCCACCTGCGCCTTCTTGAGGCCGACCAGCTCTGTTAGTAGCAGCTGGGTCAACTTCACCAAGTGTTCAGTCCTCGGAGAGTAGTGCTCACTCTTCATCTTGAGCAGCTCCCATACCCAGTCGGTCTCAGCCCATTGTGCTACTCAACAAACCACCACAGAGTGGGTCATTTTAAATCCTGTTTGGTTTTGTTTTTGTGAGACAGGGGTTCTCTGTGTCTTGGTGACCTGGTGAGCTACGGATGGAGATTAGCCAAAGGGTGACAGGGCACAAAGGTGTCGCTGAGAATTCTCGGCCACCACTGCTGACTTGGTGACACTAGTTCTTGGGGAAGGAGAAACAGAGCTTTCCAGTTTGCCCAAGAGCCTCTCGAAGCACTGCAGCTCTGGTAGCTGTCAGGCATAGCATGTCTCTGGGCAAGAATTCATGTGCTGCGGGGTGTTACCAAACATGATGTCCTTCTCAGTTCGGTCACCACCAGTGCCAGGAAGCAGTAATCCTAGTCACTATCTCAGACCTAGTGTCTTTTAACCAGTAGGGACACTCTCCTCAAACACTTGTAGCCAGCAGGTCTCAGGCCCAAGGCCTCCACTGCTTAGCTCCCACCAGAAGGGATGGAGCCCCAGAGACCATGTGATAGGCAAGAGTCGCTGGCCCAGACATGCCCTTCTCTGCATGGATCAAGTACAGCCAGAGCGAGGCTCCTCCTGTTTTCACAGGGCTCACAACAGACGGGCCAGTGAGGCCCAAGCCCATGCCCTCATCACGTCTACCCACTCCAGGCACTTAGGCAGACATCAAGGCTAGAACTCAATTCCATTCCTAAACACTGGATTCTTATCCACATGCCTCTTCAAAAAGCAAGTGCCATGTGTCAAAAGCTACGTCTGCCTTTCCTTTTTTCTCTCCTTCTCGTCTACAGCTCTGTAGACCAGGCTGGCCTCGAACTCACAGAGATCCCCCTGCCCCTGCCTCCTGAGTGCTGGGATCAAAGGTGTGCACCACCAACGCCTGGCACTTGTTGTTTCAATCCAAGAGGTAATATGGTCGCTCACAGGGTCGGCTTCTCAGAGTGGAAAGTAGGAGCTAATGGTCAGCTGGCATTCAACAGGGGTTCACAGGACACCTGCTTCCCAGTGTCCCTGGATGGGCTGGTCCCTGACCTGACAGTAGCAGTGTGTCGAAAACAGTCTGCCCAATGCCATGGCTAAGTTTAGTTTCATGATGAGAGATAAAATTCACATGTTTTTTATTTAGTCCATATAATACATCATTTTAAAGAGTTCTTTAAAATGAGATAAAAGAGCATATTAAATGGCAAGTGCATGAAGTTTTCCTTCATAAACAATGTCAAAACAAAAAAGTTTTGAATTACAAAATGTTAAAAAATATGTTGGTATTTAACATTTCACTAAACATAAAGTTACAGATACTTTCTAAAGAAAAATAACTGTGCCACTTACCTATCTTTGCTGTTTCTATGAACTTTTTAATCTGTACATAGGGCATTTTGTACAAAATACTAAGTCTACATTTTATTACTTATTACCATAAAACAAAGATACAATGTATGTACAATGTTCAAAGGAAGCCATACAAAGCTACACTAGAGAGACACTTGGAGCTGTGACACAGATACATTTTAGAAAGAGTGAAGGTGCCAAACTTAGAGCCTTATGAAGAAAAACAGTCACCCGTTTATTTTCAAAGTGGTACTTTCCTTGAAACCAGTTTGGTACAGAATAGACAGTGTCTCTATAATAATATATAAGTTGAACAATTAGCACAAGGAACCCGAGTACTAACTAGGGAAACTTTAATAGGCCAAAATATTGAGTAATACTTTTGTCAAAGAAAATTAGTTTCTCTCAAACATTTTTTTTCCTTTCCTTATTGGTACAGTTTGTCTTCAATAAAGAGCAGGAGTAAAAGCTAGACCAGCAATGTTCTTCTGTGCTGAGCTCCGCACAATCACCCGGACACTGATAGCTTGCTTTCCATACAGGGCAAAGGAGTCTTCTGGCACCTCTCACCATGCATGGAACACCCCCACATCAGGGTTATCTGAGACTCTACCAGCTAAAGACGAGAGTTCAAACAATGGGGTATCAAAACACACAGACACCGCTTTATATGATAAAAGCACCCTTTTTCCCTCAAAAGGAGAAGGCATCTCAACTTTTTTTTTTTTTTAAATTATAGATTTCATAATGGTAAAGTGGATAGATACTTGTCAAGTTTCTCAGGAAGAGTTCTCAGCCAAGCCACCAGCCTGCCCACCTTTCCTACAGTCTGCCCTGCTCTTCCTCCATGCTATGTGGAGTAAGCATCACCAGCGATCTGAGGAGACCGTGAGCAGCCCCGTGACAGCAATGTCTGGGTTCACCGTTTGTGCATGGATACCTGAGACCACCATGGAAAAACAGATTTTCAGAGATGCCACATTTACCTCTTATGCATCAAGACATTTAACACTAAGTTATATGTATGCTGGAGACAAAGAAACTAGTCACCGTTCAGAATAACAGTACACATCTCAAGGAACTTTCAAGCAGGATAAATAAGTCGAAGTACTGGCCACCCTGAGAAAATAAAGAACAAAGCGCTAAGTTTAAGGATTTTTCTCCTTGTGCTATTCCATCTAAAACAGAAGCTTAATCCATGCAAGAAGTCTGTGAAGCCTGTAGCAGCATGTGAAGACGGGCGGAAACACAGACACTGCACTTTTCCTTATCAACTCAGTAATGTGTGCTTTTTGCAACAGAAAGGCTCACTGATGGCACCCTAACAGCGCGGCGGCCTGCAGTGCGCCCAAAGGCAGCTACAGTCTGCATTAGGCCCAGTGGCTTAATTCATTGTAACATTCTGCAGATGTGGAATTCTTAGAACCTACAGTTTTATCGATTCGAGAGCCTTGTTGAAGGATAATGTGTAGGTAGATGAAAAACTGATCCTGTAAATAAAAATAGGAACACATAATTGCAACATTGTGCTTCCAGTCAAGGTGGACTTCTCAGATTCTCAGAGCTTTCTTCTGAGCTTGGGCGGAACCCTGGCCTGTACTACGGACTATGAAATATGGCTTTTGGTAGATGTTCAGGAAAAGAAAGATATGGTGTTCACGCCGGCAATCAAAGGGAAGAAACACCTTGGGAGGTTCCAGAGCTGAGGGTGTTGGCTGCTTTCCCAGCAGGCAGCTAGAATGTGAAAGCAAAGAGCTGAGAGGTTTGACCAACGTCGGCACGGCAAACATGGAAATGATGGCAAAGGTTGTGACGACTTAGAGGAGGAGGAACCTTCCAGAGTGCTTCCTCGCCTTGAAAAGCCCTGGTGTTACCACAGAACTATCTACCTGAGAGGGGCTCAGGGTCCACTTGGGCAGGACAAGGAGACAACCAGGGTGCTTCCCTACAGCTCTGACTTTGGGACGCAGTCTTACTCGGGGCTGTGCTGGGGTAGCAACAACACTGTCATCTGCCCGAGCTTGGCCAGCAGGGCCGGGGAGGCCACCATTGTTTGAACTCCTAATCTGGAGCTGAGGCAGATGTACACTGCTGCCTACAGAGTGGGCGGGAGGGAGCGCTGACTTTAGTGTACGGCACAAACGGTATGTCTTTCCTACAGCATCCGGAAGGGAACTGACAGGCCCAGCTTGACGGACGTGCTGCTCCAGAGCTAGCGCCCATCCTGGGAGAGCAGCTCACTGGCTCTGCAGTGAGCTTCCAAGGCTTTCTCCGTGTGGGGGTCCTGAGGCAGCTCGGACTTGCGGCGCACAAGGGGACGGTCCTTCTTCGGGTCCTTCTGTGCCTGGAATCACAAATGCAATGCAGTTGGCTGCGCACTAGGTGACCGCGAGGGAGTTCGCTTCTGAGTTAGAAGCCTCACCGGACACAGGGAACAGGTTCGTTTCCTATTCAGTCACCCCAAATGTCCCGAACCCTGCATGATGACTAGTGTGAAGCCTCGTGGGTGGCGTTGGCTTTGAGCCTCTGCAGTGTTAGTGTCCCTAGGGCTTCCAGCTCTTAGTTACTCCACTACACACCCTTCTCTCTCACAGAGCATCTCCAGCGTCTCTTAGTGTTCATGTCTGAAACACACACATTTCAGAAAGAAGGTATTTCTTTAGGGGAAAGCAGAATGGACAAGAAACAAACTAGATTTAAAAACCAGTTAAGAGAGTCAAAACATCTACAAAAAAAATTCTGAAAGTTTTTTTTTTGTTGTTTTTTTTTATGGTGAGAGGTGTTAAATGGGTCATGTGGCTAGAAAAAACCAATTGTACCCAGAAGTCATGCACATAAAAGTTCCCAATGTTGAGTCAAGGAAATAAAAGATATTCCTCTTGTCTACTGTCTTGCGGAAGTTTAGGAACCCCACTTTGGCAGAAGGATTTAGACTGTGTGTGTAGGTGCGCACATATGTCTATGTTTTGAGACAGATCTCATTATGTAGCCCAGGCTGGCCTTGACTTCATAGCCTCCCAGATGCCAGGTTATGAGCACGGGCCAGCATGCCCAGGGATGGAGCTGACTGTAGTATCTGCAAAGAATGTCCAGAGAGGAGAGTGTGCACCGAGCATCTGCTCAGCTTCCACGGAGGCTGCTGGGCTAGCTCCAGCACCCTGAAACATAACACAACGCCAACTCAGCTGACCAAAGGCAATGTACTGTGCGAAGGACTATAGGCAGCCAGCGGTACTTCTAGACCGATGTCGCTTAACCCCAAATGTTTTCCTTTCCATCCATGTCTCCAACCAACCAAAGGCAGCATTAAAGAAAGTAAACCTTTGTGGTGTAAACTAGGAAAAAAAAAAAAGCCGTTGAAAGCCAATTTGTGACAACAGAGAAGGCATGCATGAACGGCTCTGTGTGCTGACGTCTGCCTTCCACACGGTGACAGAACATGCTTATGCTCTGGTGGAAAGAAGCACCTGCTAAGCCACAGATGGATGCCTGCATTGCAGAGTTTGGTGTTTCTTAGCAGGGTTCTGCAGATTGGATCTGCCTATGAAAGCAGCAGCAAGGGCTCAGTGTGGTCTGACAGCAGGGTTATTTCTAGAGCTGCCACTTGAACCTTAACCTTCACATGCTGAAGGGAAGCTTATTGCTTTGCCTGCCTAGAAACCGGCCACCAGTCTCCATACAGGCTGTCATCAGTCCACATGCTTGTAGGAGTGCATTTATTGATTTGAGTTTTGCTACAAAACCCAGGCTGGTTTCAAATCCACGATCCTCCTGCCTCAGCTTCCCCAGTGCTGAGATTTTGGGTGTGCACAGCTGGCTCATTAAGAGTGTTTCACTTTTAACCCATCAGAGATTCACAGGTTAAAAGGCTACCCTGAATTTTATGTCCGTTCTGATGCAAACCGACATTTTAAAATACACGAAATATGTAATAACCTCCGACACAGGCATGCCAGAGAAAAGAGACACCTTAACACAGAGAGCATAGCAGGCCCCTGGAGCTGCACCCAGCGAAGGTGAACGGAGGAGTCTGAACTGACCAGAGCTCAGACACACATGAGGGCTCTCTCTGCTTATCACTGCAAACAGATGCACAGAGCAGAGGAGGCTTTGACAAACCCCAAGAGGGTCAGCGAGAGAAACAGGAGGCAGGAAAGAATGAGACGTCACACACATGGTGGTCTAGGAGTAAGATCGGGGACAGGGATGTCCTGGCAGCACGAGGGGAGGGGTGGGTGGAGGAGGAAGCAGGAAGTGTTGGCATGAGACTGGCGGGTACAAACGGCCAGGGCTGGAGGTCCTGTAGAGAACATGGGCGGGGTACACAATGGAACATTCTTCCTTTACCTCGGAAAGGCGTCGAGTTCAAACTACAGAACTTAATTTGGGGCAGAACTAGTCAACGTTCTTAGCTCTGTCTTGCCCATCACAAGCTGTGATGTCATGGAAAGAAGGGAAAATACTTCATGTACACCTTGGTGACTCATCACGCTCCGGCAGATAGAAAGCCTTAAGTATACTCTATGCATTTCCCAAGGAGTACCTGCACTGCCTGCCTTCCGTCTACACCTTCCTGACTTGCGTGGTTGATACTGCTTTTCTCCCGACCAACTGTTAAAAATGAAAATTGTTAACATTTTAAATGTCTCTGACATCAACGTTATTCGCATGAAACTATGAAACTTACATACTTCTTGGGGAGGTGATCTGATAAGGGTTCCACAAGTTCCACAAAGGGAGTCTAAATAGCGGTTCTGACAACAAATACATTACTGAATTTCTCCACCTGTCCCACCAACCAAATGCCTTTTACCGCATCAGTCTTTTGTCCTTAGCCTTCAGCAGGACCATCGTACTTATGGCTCACTCTGTCGTGACCCAATAACCAAATCCACTTACAGAAATCTTTTTGGAAATAGTGAAAATGAAACTGAGGGCCACATAGTGTTCATACTATTGAATCCCAGGCCTTAGTCTTTTAGCTATAGCTTTGTTTGTTTGTTTGTTTTGAGCCATGTAGCCTGGCTTGGCCTTAAACGTGTAAGCCCCTGCCTCTGCCTCCAGAGTACTGGGACCACAGGCAATGGGCCACCACATCTGGTACCACATCTGGTACCTGGCACATTCTTTTGCTGTTGTTACTAACTGAGAATTTCAGGAGCATGATTCTGAACATTCTCAAAGGAAGGAGAGATTGTCATTTCTCCGGGTGGTGGTGGCATGCGCCTTTAATCTCAGCACTTGGAGGCTGATGGATCTCTGTAAGTTTGAGGCCAGCCTGATCTACAGAGCCTGGTTCCAGGACAGCCAGAGCAACACATGCGCGCACGCACGCACGCACGCACGCACACACACACGCACACACACGCGCACACATACACACACACACCAAAAACAAACAATGACAACAAAAAGCCCTGTTTCAGAAACCAGAAATAAAAACAACAAAAAGGAGTTTATCATTTCCAATATTATCTATGAGCCTGTATCTAGGCAGTGAGACTCACCCAACTACTTAACTGTCCTGTCCTGGCTCAGTGGTTAAATCCACAGACAGCTTGACATTGGGCAGTGATGTCTTTTTTCAGGGTGGCTATTCTAGGTCCTCTGAATTCCCACAGCAATTTATTTGCTCTCTCCTTTATAAAGGAGGCTCTTTACTAAGTCGCCCAGCTGGCTTCAAGCTTGAGACCACCCTGCTCTATTTGTGTGTCATAGGAATGTCAGAACTGGTTGGTTTTTGGGCCTGGGCTGACCTCTGGACCTGCTACATTGCCAGGGATGACTTTGAACTTTTGATTTTCCTGATTTTACTTCCCAAGTGCTGAGGTTACAGATGTGTACGGCCATGTAGGTGTAGGGTTTATGCTGTGTCGGCAACCACCCAGACCTTTGCACCTACTAGGGGAGCACCCTACCCACTGAAATGTATCTCTGCTTGTCAGTTCTTTAAGGGGGGGGACCCTGCTGGTACTCTAGTGAAGAAATTAATTCAGGGAGAACTAACTTCCCTGTGCATGGCATCTTCTGACACAGGAGCAGGAGCCACAGAACTCAAAGATAAGTTGGAGGACCAACTTTGTAAGAATGTCAATCATACAGAAGACTCAACAAGATGATGGTATTTCAAGAGCCACAGAGACAGGCAGCAAATGTGACATGGGAGCCTCTCAGGACAACTTGCCAAGGCTACTGAGAATGCCCGGCTGGCTTTACCAAAAGGGGACCTGTCACTGCGATGGACAGCAGATGGGAGGCTCTGTGGCGCCGTGGCTAACAGTGCCAGAGCCCACTTTTCAAGGCATTTTTGCTTGAGGTTTAAGATGAATCTGGTGTGTCCTCGACCCCGCTGTTGATTTGTAAAGCACAGGGTGTAAGTGACAGTGAATTATGACCAAAGCTGAAGGAGGCACCAAAAGGCGATTCCACTGAACCTTCGAGAACCCGGGGCAGTGTGCGGGGAAAATGGCTCACAAGTCTTCAACTTCCTGTACACTGTGTGTGGCCCAAGGGTCTTAAAACTGACTAAGAGGTCACCCATTCCCAGATGGGCTTTTCTCCTGGGATGATGGTCTGAGGAATACACGGATCTCAGGCAAGCACTCAGCTGGCTGCCGTCGGCAAACTCAGGACTGCAAAGTCAAAGTGGACATAAAAAGGTGACCTTACTTCCTTCAGAGTTACAGAGAAATCACGAGAGGAGACCGAGGGCCTAAGGGAGAACACAGAAAATACATGGGTCTTCTTTCTTATGTATCTGGTTATGAGCCCAGTCTTTAATGGCTGAGCCATCTCTCTAGCCCGGGTTTTCTTCCTTTTCTCTCCGTCCCTCCGCCCTCCCTCACGCTCTTTCTCAGGAGGGGAGTTTCACTATGTGGCCCAGACTGGTCTTGAGCTCACACTTCCCCTGGCCTGGCTTCTCTAGTGCTGGGATTACAGGCCTGAGTAACCATGCCCGGTTGAATTCTTGATGAGACCTACTCACTGCCTGCTAAGAATAACCCTGTGAGGAAGAGTGTAGGATCCAGCTAATCCCTGGCATTCAGGAATTCAGAAAGCGGTCACTGCGTTTTCCCACGGCATTTCTAGCATCTTCATGTCTCGTTGAGTAGAAAGAACTATTCATTCATCCATTCAAACAAAATTTAATTTAAATCAAGGGGCTGAGGACGAACACGGATTCCCATGACAACTGCTGGGGCTGAGCCCTCCTTGCTCGACACTGTGAACAGGGAGCCTGTGACTCCGAATCAGGTGCCATGTTTCAACGGTGACAAGAGGTGGCCGTATGCACCTCTGCTTATGTATTTACACACACGACACAGCTTCTCCGGCACCGTCGCCAGTACACATGAAGAGCTGCTGTCGCACTCTCTCTCTTCCTGCCAGGGTCTTGAAGCGCTTCTGTGTGCTACCCCGGGACCACAGCCCAATTCACAAGGCTCCATTTCTGATGCTCTGCAGACACGTGTGGTCGGGGCTGCTGGAGGCTCTGCTGGCTAGACTGCCCACTCTTAGTAATGCCTCATCCTATCTTACCGGGTGAGGGTTTACTGGAACCAAACAAAATAGATTAGAGAATCCTTCTGTTTATTTAACTGAGCTCCAATGGACATCATGAACAGTAAGCAGCGGTGAGGGGTTCCGTCTACCTTCTAGAACCCGAGTGCTAATGTCTAGAGAGATCCTGCCATTGGTCAAAGGGGGCTAAAATTTACAAGTCACTGTAACCCTAACCTCTAGGTCCACTCCGGGAATTGTTTACACTTGCCTGGGACAGGGAGCATGCCTCAGAGGAGCTCAGTGGGTCACCCTCTCTGAAACCTTTCTGTGCATGTTCTCCGTTTGGCAGAAAGAGAGCTGTGGGCCACGGCTGCTCCGAATGGTTACATGGGGCTGCCACAACCCTGGCCCTGCCACGGGGGCTCTGGGCCCTGGAGGGGCTAAGCTCCCCCACCCCGGTGCCCTGGGAGGTGAAGGGTTTAACACCAGCTATGAAGAACTAGAGGAAGTGTCCCTGGGCCAGAGCGGAAGTGAGAGGGTTGCAAAAGGGACAGGGAACGGCAAGGTGCTATTGCAAAGCTTCGGATTTTGCTCAGGCTAACATAGAACGCATGGTTAGGAGTTGGGCTTCTGTTGCTAAGGTGAATGAAGCAACAGGCTGCAGGCACACACTGGACTGTTAAAAACTTTTCTAGCAATCTGATCGCTCAGACTTGCAGGTGTTTCCTAACAGGTGACTGCATTAGCTTGGCGGAATGTGACGGACCGGTCAAGCACGTCTGTAGCGGACACGGCCCTGCCGAGCTCAATGCACTTTTACCTGACGAGTCTCGTCGCTCAGTGTCTTTCTCAGCATCTGCACATCTTCAAACTGAGGCCCATCTGTCTCCATTGCCACCGGAATGCTCATGGCGCTGGCTTGACTATACACTGCATACTGCAATGCAAAGTATGGAGTCACTGTCTGTCAGGTGCTGGGCCTGCACTTGGGGCCCTCATCCTGCAGGGGACGCTTGCCCACTGCCCTTCCCCGTGGCCCTGTCCCACAAGAAGCCATGTGGTAGGAGATGAACTTGCCTACTTGCTTGACCTCTGATGAAGCCTGTGGACTGCTGCCTGCTGGATGCTGGAAGGGGGCTGGCCCTCCAGCAATCTAGGCCAAGGGAGCGACCCTCTGCTGGCCCCTAGATAATGCCTACATCTTCCTGAGTACATCTCAGGCCAGTCAGCTTACAGCTCTCCTGCATCTCTAGAGCCAACACACGGAGGAGGGACTGCCCATAGCAGATGCTCACTTCCTACCCTCTGCTCTACACACAGCCTGCCCCACCCACCCTCACGGCTCTTTCCCCCAGGTCTCTTCCTTCCCTTCTTCACATCCACCCTGGGGCAGCTGCCCAGACCCTCCTTCGTTCCATGTCCTCAGTAGTTTCTTAGTACCTTAAACCTTCCAACTCATCCTGATATCCCGCTTGCCACCCAAACTAACGCAGCCTGGATTACTGCTGGTCCCTCTAACCTGGCGCCTTGTGCCCCTGGAGTCAGGCCTGCTATGCTCTGGGGCCCTGTGCTCTGGGCACAACAGGCAGGTTGTAATGGCCTTTCACCTGCTCCTACCCTGGCCCCGGTGACTTCAGGCTTTGTGATCAGAAGGATGTAGGCCCAGTTTGTGAGTTGCTGGCACTTGCTTTCCCTGTGTAGCCAGGCAGGGGTGGTGTGGGGACAGAGTCAGTGTTGGCTACAACAAGTTGGGGGTTATGAACAATCCTTCCCTTGCAATATGTGCTGCCGAGAAGCCCCAAGCCTGAAGGGGATGCTGGGCCCTGTGTCCATGCTTATGGGCACTCACATACCTGGTCTCAGCCACCCCTTGGCTAGCAGCTCTGCTCAGGTCAGTCTGGCTCCTGTTCTGTCTCTAACAAGGCGCCTCCCGGACACTAACCGTGGGTTTGCGTTACCCTCCAGGCTGCACGCCTGCTGTAACCACGCCTGGCACTCAGTGTCTCCCTACAACCATCGGGCCCTCCTGCCCTTCAAGCTGCCTGCTCTGCTCAGTAGCCTCCTTTCCACACGCTTCTCCAAGAGTCAGTCCCCTGTGGGCCTAACCCTTCCAGCACTCCAGCCTGCTGCTGACAAACACAACAGCTTCCTAGACTGCAAGACTGCCTGGGCCACTGTGCTCCTTACACACACCTTGGAGGGATAGCGGCAAATGGCCTCTGCCCTCTCTGCAATATTGTCACGGCTCCCTCAGGGCCAGTCCTGAGTTTCTCTAATATTTTCTGACTTGTGTGGGTCTTGGGCCATTGCCTCAAATGCAGACTGCGTGACAACTGTAGGGTCAGGGCTCCCCCTGGGCGAGGCCGCGTCTCATGCCAGAGCCGTTTCTCTCTAAGCTCCTGCAGACCTGAGCCACACCCTCTTCCTCAGTCCAGAGCAATCCTCAGCTGTGTGCTGCTTCTGGCTGCATCGGTCCCCTTGTACATCCTATGTGTCTGGATGCCAGGCTGCGTGTTTGTGCTTACGTTTTTGTCACTGGACATTTCCATAATTTGATTCAGGCTACATGGCACCTTGTCCTCTCGGTGGCCAAAGCCAGGCGGGGAGGAACAGAAAGTGACGGAAGCCTAGTGTGAGGCTATCCTGCGGGCTGACCTAAAGCAGACGTCATCATCTCCGTACTCCAGGATAAACTGTGCTCCCAAAAGCAGTGGAAAGGGTCCCATGCTCAAGGGCTGTGCCAGTTCACAACAGCCGGTGCTCACTCCCCATAGGCACAGGCAGGCTTTCCCACAGAGAGCACAGGCTTTCGAGAGGCCGCAGCTCACAGAGGACAAGGATGCCCAGCCTCCACAGAAGGTGGAGGACCTGAGGCATGGTCCCCTGCCACAGACCAGCTGCACTCACAGTATCGGGCTGGGGGTGGGGGATGCGCCGTAAGATGCCCTAGAGTCTGTCTGTTGGGTTAGGAGAAACACACCAGTGTGTTACAATTCCACACAAAGACTGCACCATGGAAAACTCAGGGAAGCAGCCACAGCTGCTAGAACTTCTCTCAGGCCACAGCTTCCAGACCCCCTCCCTCCGCCAGCATGTCTGGCCGCTTATGTTTCTGAGCAGACGAGGCACTTGCTTGGCCTAAGAATGAGGGTTTGCTTGGGGAAGCTGCCTGTCTCCCCAGACGCCGGGAACACACACTGGATCACTGGTAACCTTCCTTTGCACAGTGAATCTGCACGCTGACTCTCACCAAGGCAGATGTGAAAACGCTTCTAAACCCACATACCCACCACAACAGTGAGTCCTGTAACGACAGTTAGTACTAACTAATGTTTCTCTCAGGACAGTGAGCTCTAAGGACATACTTTCAGCTCTGGGGTCTTAACACATGAAGTATTTTCCACATTAGAGACACTGTGTCACGGGAATGGGACATGTGGACAAGACTCTTGACGACTGTCGCAGAGGGTTCCACACAGAGATGGAGGTGAGGACAGAGGGAAGGGAGGCCACCAAAGCTCCGATGATGCCACAGACCAGTTTAGAGAGCGATCAAAAGGAATAACAGGGCCATTGCTGCAAGGCAGTGGTGACCCAGGCCACATGTGGATGCAGCAACCAGCTCCTAGTTTGCAAGTAGAAGCTTTGTGCAGTTTTTTTTCAACATATTCTAGACAAGGCATGCTTTCCAAGGCTCTTCACCCCTTAGCTAAATAAACCCTTCCAAACAAAGCAAGGCCCCCAGGGCAGTGTCAGCAAAGCCGAGCCACCTAACCCTGCCCGCGCATGCTTTCCTTCAGTCTCTCTCTCAACACAACCCTACCCATAAGTGCAGTCTCTATAATTAGCCACAGGCCTGAGAACAACTTTTCTGTAGCATGGAAAGTGCTGCTGGGAAATGCGGGCTGTTTGTTCTAGGTGGACCGCAGACCTATAACAGACTGTCATTAAGTCTCTTCATCAAAGGGATGCAGGCCAGTATGCTGCTTTATAGGAAAATACACACTGTTATCTTCATGTATCGTTTTTATTAAATGACAAAGATTAAAAAACCCACATCCAACTTATATAATAATTTATACACACTTCTCACCAAAAAGAAATACACGGTTAAGTGAAACATTTTCTTCCCTGGAGAGCCGAGAGCAGCCTGAGAGATCTTAGTGTGGAAAAGGTCAGACATTTCATAAGTGTCTGATGCAATCAGACACACAGAGCAAGGAGAAACACCCCAGTGACACTGGCCGCCCAGGCCAGCAGACACAACACCAAAGGACCATGGCTGCAAAGCTGCCCCAGGTTCTGGCAGCCTAAGAGCTAACACTGGATGGAGGCTGCTGTGTCTGCCAGCAGCCCTGGCAGACAGGACCATTAGTGTCTCGCTTGGCCGTGCGAGAGCATATGGGCATCAGCTAGGGTAGAGGAGAGGTTAGTGTGAGCAGGGCGGAAGTCGGTTAGCTTATCAGCACACTTCATCTACTCCATACTTCATCTGTTTCAGATAGGAAAATAAAAGAGAAATATGGTTCAAGTGACAGCAGTTATGACATTTGAGCAAGAAAGGATATTACAGTCTTAAGAGGTTACATCCTGGTTTTCTTTTTACCACATCATATCTTACTTTTAAAAAGAAGAGGAAAAAAAGTCAATTTTGTGGTAAGAATTATGTGTGGCAAATAAGTACTTATACAAGAGGAAGGTTACAAAGTTGGAAAGTGTTTTATTGTGGACATTTGCACATACAGTGTTAGTGACGGTGGCCTCCCTTCCTGGGGCGGAGCCAGATCCTATGCCATCAAACATTCACGCAACGACTCAACACTCCCGTGTTACTCTCTTTTTTAGTACCTGGGGATTCGCTTTGGCTAGATTTTCTATTTTAACCCATGCTTCTTCTCGCTCTTTCATTTTTAGCTTCTCTCTGAAAAACAGTAAGACATCATTTGTGTTAGAGAAGACTAACTCACGCAGGATGAAAGCTTGGAGATGTCAGCAACACAACCATGTTTCCCAGGCCCTCTCTGCTCAACACATGCTACGTGAAAAGAAAAAAAAAAAAAAAAAAAGCTGGCTAAGGGTTAAGACTAAAGGTTTTAAAGGTAAAAAATATTTAACAAGAATTTAAACCACCCGTGATCTCTTGTAAGCAGGCCCAAAGTTCCTAGCCTGGCCAGCTGCTTGCTTCCGTACCCATGGGCAGGCGAGTCTGCAGAGGAGCCAAGGAAGCCCAGAACCAGCCCCTGGTGGCAACGACATTCCAAGGGACAACAGGGTTGCTTCTGATTCATCATTAGAGGCATCGAATTTAGGCCACTCACACAGTCTGTATTTCACTCAGAGTGTGCTCTCTTACCCCACCCACCCGTTACGGCAAGGGCTTTTGTGGTATTCACTGCTGCATTATCAGAAACCAAAGGAGTCTGATACGCAGCCACATATCATCTGAAGAACAAAGGAACGGTGGCTGGCTCGACAGACACCATGTAGTCACCTGTAAGTGTCAAGCAAGGACTAAGACCTGCCCACAGTTCACGCTGCGTTAGGAAGAGTGCTTTCTTTCTTTTTCTTAAAAAAGACAAGGTCTCACTCTGTAGTCAAGGTTGGCCTTGACAATGGTGGTGGCTACCAAGGGCTACGCAGAGCAATAAAAACCCACCCTGGCAGCTGACCAAGGAATCACTTACTTCAGTTTCTCTGCTTTGAACTGCTGGGTACAGTCATCGAAGAGTTTTTGGTTCATCTCCATGAAGAGCTTCAGGGCATTGTATATCAGGCCGTGTATTGTCCTGCAGAGCGAATGCCACAGTCAAATGCCAACACCGGACCCTTCTCCTGCCTCCACCACTTCCCCTCCAAGCCTCGAGTCTCCCTCATTTCTGAGGCCCTACCCGCAACAAGCCCACTAGGTTCTAAGACAAGCTGCTAGCTCACTCAGTCCGTTTCCCCAGTCAGGGCTCGCAGGCACCTGCCCGGCCAGGAAGTTCACCTTCCTGTTAACAGCGGCCAAGGCCACTTTGCCTGGAGACCGAGTAAACAAAGCAGTGCAGTTGGCAGTGACAGAATGTCTACAGAGGAAGGGACAGCTCTGGTGTCCACATCTGGCTAACGCTGGGTCCCTGGCACCCTCCCTCGCGGAGTTCCCTGCCAGGCATCAGGGGGCTTTCACTGGGTGAACGGATTTCCTTTCTCATCAAATGAAATGGAAAGGAGAGGTGGGTGCCCCTCAGCCACATAAGCCGCCAGCTCTTTGCCCTCAGGTAACGCCCACAGCAGGGAGGCCCTGCAGTTTAAGCCATGGGCTCCCTGGTGTGTCATGGGACTTAAGGGACACCTAAGGATGGATGCGTCCACTATGTTCTGGAAGGACTGATCCTGTGAACTTCAAACTCCCCTGGAGGCTCCAGGGGAGACCTCAAGGGTGCTGCTGCTGAGACCAGCAGGGACCTGCGTGCAGGGAAACAGGCCTCTGTACTGGCTTGGCATGGGCTAGGAAAGCAAAACAAGAGGTCACAGAGGCAATCCACACTGCTGCTTAACTTAAAGAGTCACAAAGAAACTGATGTTCATTTAAAAAGCTGACGGTAAACTTAGGCTTCCACGCTTAACTGCAGTGATAGCAAGGCAAGCGCTACTTAAAAATGGCCAGAAGCTGCCGGGCTGCCGGTTCCTACTTGTTCCAGTGGGTCTTTGAGTTGCGGTACAACGATGGAAACATGATGGGCAGAATCTTCGCTGCGTTGTCACTGATTAAACTCATAATGTATTCATTGTTCCAGTAATACAGCGCCCGCTCTGCCACCTGAAAGCCAGAGGGGGAGAACTGTTGGGGACCTGCACGACGACGACAGGGGGAAACACTCTTCCTGCTACACCTGCGAGAAGAGTAGGTCACACTGGGCCACACAACTACAATTATCCCCATCAATTCCAAACAGTCAGTCAATAAGGTGGCAAAAGATAACTTACACGTCAAGAAGTCAACACTGTCGTTCACTTTTCCAATTACTCTGTTGATAAACACTCATGAGACCCCAGGCTGGATGCCGACACCAAGTCGAATGTGTGTGCGCAAATACTTGAATCTGTAGTGTAGGTGTGTGGCACATGTATGTGGAAGCTAGAGGTTGACACTGAGTATCTTCCAAGTTGCTCACATTTTATTTTTTCAGATAGGGTGGCTCACTGAACTTGGAGCTCCCCAATTTGGCAAGGCTGGCTGGCAGAGACCCTCCTATCTCTACCCCCCTCACCCCTGTGCCAGGATAATAGATGTGGCCAGATGATCCAAACTCAGGCTCTCAAGTTTGTGCAATGGGCCCATCCTCGGCCATTCGCTCCCATTCACCTGTATTAGCCAGGCCTCTGGTGTGGGTACTGCCACTTAGCACAGAGGCTGCAGCAGACCACACATTCGGCTGGGGAGTAGAAAACAGAGACGATAACCGATTTACTAGAAATGACAAATGATGGGCAGAGGCAAGAGGCTTGTGTCAGTCGCCATGGAGGCCATATCTAAGGTAGACCCTGTGTGAGATCCCGAGAGCAAAGACGGCGAGTAATCAGCCAGAGGGCCAGCAGTGCTAAGGCTGCAGAGCCACACCCTGGGGTCTGCAAGCCTGCCCTCACTTTGGGTGAACTGGGGAGCTGGGCGGAGGGGAGCTGGGCGGAGGGGAGGGCCTATTTCGTATTAGTTATCACTCTGTAAGGACAGCTAGGGTGCAGAGTAGTGGCCATGCTCAGAAGCTCACGGCAGCGTGGGTGAGTAGGTGGGGCAGGCTGTGCAGGGTTCAGGAGTCAGGATTAGTCCCTCAGACAAAGTGAGGAGAGGTGAGCTTTGCAAATGGGAAAGAAAAGGCAAATAAAGAAAAACCCGCACAAAAAAAAAAAAAAAAAAAAAAAAAAAAAAAGAAAAGAAACACAGCACACCAGCCAGGTGTTGAGTACAAGACCTGTTTTCATTTTTGTTTTTTATTAAAAACAAAACAAAAAACTATGTAGGTCAGGCCAACCTCATGTTAATAATTTCCCCACCCCAGTCCCCCAAGTGTGGTGATTATAGGTGCCTGCCATTAAGCCTGACTGATACCTTACCTGTATTATTATTATTTACAAAATTATATTTGTCTGTCACGTGTGTACGTGTCTGTGGTATGGCACACCTGTAGCCCTGCAGACAATGTGGAGGGCTGGTTCTCTCCTTTCCCTATGTGAGTCCTAGGAGCAAACACGCTGTCAGGCTTGGGAACAAGCACCTTCCCTGCTGAGTCATCTTGCTGGCCCTGTATTTTAGTTTTTTGTATGTGTACACACATGAGCATGTGCTATGATGTGTGTGGTAGAGGCTAACTCTGACTCCACCCTTCTCCCCACACATGTTCTGACATTGAAGCCAGGTCACCAGGCTCGCAAGGCGAGCGCCTTTACTGGGTTGGCCATCTTGCTGGCCCCAAGACCTTCTTTTCTTTGAGACAGGAGTCTGTGTTGCCCTGGCTGGCCTGGGGCTCAATATGTAGCCCAGGCTGGCCTTGAACTCATGGGGACTATAGAGAATATCTATCCATAAATATTTTTGGACATGATATTTTAAGACTGCACATTAGAAAACAGAAGATAGGGTGCTTAAAGGCTCAGACTGCAAATTTTATTTTAGTTTTTAACACAAATGCCTTTTCTTTCTTTCCTTGAGAAACAGTAGCCAGCCTGGAACTTGCAATCCTCCTGCCTCAGTTCGGGGATTAACTACTGTACTCAGCTGTCTTGTTAGAGAGAACTTTGAGTTTACTTGTCTCTGCCATGCTTCCAATACAGCTGTGCACACTCAATGTGGCTCAGTATTCCATTCCAGACTCCTTGATGCTGGGCCCTTGTTGGGGATGCATGACTCACTTTGTCCTGTCTGCTCATCTTCAGTCTGCTTCTACCAACACACACCACATGTACTTTCGACTTACTTTTGAAAAAGTGTGTAATTTATTTACTTTGTGTGTGTGTGTATCGTGTGTGGCAGGGATGGAGGCACACGTATACCACAGTGTGTGTGGAGGTCAGAGGACAACTTTGGGGAGTTGGTTGTCTCTTTCCACCATGTTGGTCCCAGGTATCCAACTCAGACTGTCAGGCCTGGCAACAGCCACCTTTGTCTGCTGGGCTGTTTCGCTGGCCCCTTCTATGTTCGGTAACGACTTGGAATCTAGAGTTGACTGACTTTAAAGATGTCATCCCCACAGCCACCATCTCTCTGCTTTAGGTGCAAGACAACCTCTACCACGAGAAGCTACCAAGAAGGCTGGGGATGGGGGTGGGGGAGTTGGGGGTGAGAAAGTTTATTAAGAAAGAGCGAGCCAGCCATGCGTTTCTGGGAGATTCTAGAATGCACTTGGTATTGATCTGGGTCTGTCAAGAAAGCAGAAAAGGAGACTGGAATAAAGTGTCTTGGCAGTGAATGAGGGAAGCTAGGCTGTTACCAATGGAAAACGAGGGTGGCCAAACCCTGCAATCCTTTAGTCATCATCACCCAGCAGAGGTGTCTGTGTCTCTCTGCAGCAGACTCAACATTGAGGACCATGGCCTTCATGCAGAGCCTTTCCAGAGAGAGGACAGGAGTCACTGGGATCAGTAAACTGAGGCAGGGAGTGTGGCAGCCACCGTCACCACACAGAAAGTCCAGGTTGGGCTGCTTGAAACAGTGTCTGGACGAGCTATGGTTGCTGCACAAGGCTTGCCAGGCCAATCTAGCCGATGCTCCCACATGGGTGGGAGGTGGCTCACGAGGCCCACTTTCAGTAATCAATAGCTGCTGGGGAAGGAGTCTGCCTTCCCAAGGGGTGTGGCCCCTAGCTGGCATTGCTACTACAGTGCACAGCTCCATCTCATGTGCATGGGCAACATCAATTAGACTCTGAGCGTTTTCAGTGATGAGAACAGGGCCAGAACTGAAACTACAGAGAACTAAATAAAATCATATTTTATTTTTGAGTACAGGGTCTCTTTATAGCCCAGGCTGATCTCAACTTATGGCAATTCTCCTGCCTCAGCTTCCCAAGTATTGGGATTACAGCAATGAGTCTCACTGCCTGGCTAAAATTTAAGCATCTAATTTTGAAGTACATGTCAAGTAAAAAAAAATTGAAATTCACGTCTAGATCACAGCAGAGCCACAGTACAAGCAGCTTCACACTGAGAATACCATGTCAACAGGAGCACCTGGCCCCTGTCGCCCAGACCTGCATACCTGGAAGTGAGGGCTGGAAACACACTTGGCTAACTGTCGGAAAAGAGGCTCCATGATCTTCACAAATTCCGATGGTTCGATTACATCTAAAATCTCCTCTAATTCATTTAAGAACATCACTTCTTTTGGACTGTGAGTCTTTGGCCAGTATTTGAGAAGTGCCATTACCACCTGAAAAACAACAACAGCAAACAAGGTGATGCCCATGAGATGCCAATACCGGACGCCCCCACTGCAACGCCACACAGGAGACGATGCTAAGAATCAGCACTAGCATGCTTTTCTCTTTCTCATCAGCAGTCTAGTTTCACACGCTCTTTTTTTTTTTTTTACTGTATGAATGTGGCCGTGCCCATTATCAAACGCCAGCCATAGAGGCAAGCTCTGCTGGTGTTAGTGAAAATCCTACTGTCTATTCGATGCAGCGCACTTCTGACACTCAGAAGTTCACTGGCCAAGTGAGCTTTAATAGTGTGCTAGTGTGCACAGTTTTTCACACTTTAGTATCACCTTAATGTGGCCCATTCCTTCTGATCATCAGTGGAGACAGTGCAGAATGTGTTCTAGGGTGGAAACAGCTAGTTCTGACATTGTTAGCAACATTCATACATATGCACAATCTACTTCTCAAGTTAACTATTTGTATGTACACACACACATACACATACACGTTTCCAACTCTGTTAAAATATATCGAAAGAGTATTGTCAGTGAAGCAGACGTTAAGCTTGCATTCGCTGTGGGTGCTGGACCTGAGCTGGAATCAAGCTCTGTGTGATCATCTGGAACTTGAGATCCAGTGCTTGGTCAGGAGGAAGCATTCAGCAGCCATGGCCTTGATCTAGAGCAATGCTACTTAGTTTGAGGTCACAGTGCTTTCCTAATCTGTGGCTACTGTACATTATTCTCTTCGTTGCCTAAGTCAGCTATAAAGAGTATCTGCCAGGCAACTTTAAAAAAAGAAAACAAACAAACAAACAAACAAAAAAACCTCCTGTTTTTTCAAAATGTCTTACAGATTATACCAGAAGAAAACACTGGATTTTGTTCAATGAAGATTAACTTCAGTTTTAGAGTTTTGCTATCTCGGGTCTAAAAAGTACAATGAGTACCAGCAGGCACAGTGTCATAAGGACACATGTGCACACACTGTGTACACACAACTGTGAACACGCCTGCACATGCCTGCACATGCACGCAAACAGGCAGCTGTGAGGCCATACATGTGCACACACTGTGTACACACAACTGTGAACACGCACATGCCTGCACATGCACGCAAACAGGCAGCTGTGAGGCCATACATGTGCACACACTGTGTACACACAACTGTGAACACGCACATGCCTGCACATGCACGCAAACAGGCAGCTGTGAGGCCATACATGTGCACACACTGTGTACACACAACTGTGAACACGCACATGCCTGCACATGCACGCAAACAGGCAGCTGTGAGGCCTTGTTTGTAAGGCAAGATGAAGATGAAAAATTAGAGATGGGAAAGGAGACCTTTATCCTGGGATCTAGTTTGAGTTTCGTTGGCTGAGGACTCAAGAAATCTCAACACAACTTACAAAACCAAGCATGTGCAGAGAACACTCTTTTCCTAATGACGGGCTCTAAACACTGATGCTGACAACAGGGTGTGCTTGCTCGGAGACTGGACGGTGTTCCCGCTCCCTTTAATGCCCCCCCATCTAAGCAACCCACTTCATGAACCCTGCCCTACAGTTTCATTTATAAAAGACAATCCCTTTATCACTTTTATTTCGCCTGTGGCTATCAGAAGATAGCCTGCGGGGACTGGCTCTCTCCTTTCACCACAGACTCCAGGGATTGAACCCATGTTGTCAGCCTCAGCATCAAACACTTTATCCACTGAGCAACCTCACTGACCCACAAAGAGAAATTCCTTAAGAGAAATAAGCAAATAGTTCATATTGTTTAAACTGTGCCTAATTTTTAAACTTTTAATATAAATGTATACAAAATTATTCATTCACTCACCCACTCATTGATTGACTGATTGATTGATTGCTTTTCTGAGACTGTTTCTCTGATAGCCCTGGCTGTCCTGGAACTCAGAGATCCACCTGCCTGGCATGCCAGTAGCTTTTAAGGTCATGTAGGAGCTGCACAGCACCACTAATTTGGACTGATTTGCTGGAAAAGCCACAATTTCTGAGTCACACAGGTCTTATTCCTCATCTCTGGGATCTCATGAGCCTTTCGGGTTGTGTGTACACGGAGCAGGACCGCAGGAGTGCATGCCAGGCGTGATAAGGCTAGACCACAGAAGCCCTAGGCCCCAGGTTCACGGCCTGGTCCCTGCGGGGGTGAGGAAACATGTCAGGGGCCCTGCCTTGAGTTTCTGGGGAGCCTGTCCTGGTGTCGGAACAAAATAGTGGCTGCCAAGACAATTGGGACATCCATTAGCTGAAGGAGACAGGCAGGCCGAAGCACGCACGGTTACATAAAATCTCTCATGAGCCTCTATCCTGGCAACAAAGCAAATCCTAACTATGTCTAATGTGGCCAGGACACTTTGGAGTGCATGAAAATATCAGTTACGGGTCAGCAAATGCCCTTTACAGACTGCAGTCTTTGGAGTGGACACTGTGATGGGCAATCTCCACTGTCAGCTTGACTGGGTCAAGGAGCGCCCCAGGCACGGGTGAGACCTGCAGGTTCACCTTCTGGGCTTTTCCTGAGGACTAGCTGGAGGGTGGCACCGCCCCAGGGGCTTGAGTCCTAGACCGAGTCAACAACTGGGAAAGGAGACTCTCAGGCAGCTGGGACCCGGCCTCCCCATTTTCAAGGAGTCTAAGCTGCAGGCTCCTGAGCCCCAGCTCTGCGCTGCTCTCACAGGAGGCAGACCCCGCCTTCCTGTAAGTCACTGCCTGTGGGGAACTGATTGCAGTGACGGATGTTCCACACGGCAACCAGGAGCCTGGGGGGCTGCACCGTAGGTTTGTGTGTGCTACCTGTACACACCCCTTCCTAGTTCACACCTGCACCCTTAGCAAGTGCTCACTGCTAAGTCGGACACAACGGCCTGTGCACTGTCATAAAATGTGAATTTCAAAGCAAGAGATTTGCCAGCTGAGTCTGAGTGCTTTGTATATTTTAAAAATGAGCGCCTGTTTTCCACAGCTGGACAGTGATGTCATACCATCATCTTTCAACAGGAACTATCAAACAACAGCTTGGGATGAAGCCACCACACCGAGTGTGTGGGGTTTGTGGCTTGTTGGTGCAGGGTCCTGCCAGAGGCCGGTAGCAATGTTCACGTGAGACAGCATGCTCGCTGTCTATTGCTTCCTGCAGTTAAACTCACCCCTCACAAAGCTGCCGACCGACCTGTCACCACACTGCATTAGTGGGACGGAGACTTTAGACGTGTCCCCTGAGTGTATGTTATGCTCAGAAGGATGGAGAAACAGAGGTCCATCTGGGGTCAGGCTGCCACAGGGTCCGGCAGGCTAGAGGTGCTCTGGGTGGGAGAAGCCTGTCTGTGGCAAATGTGGATTTAATATTTGATGTATTCTTTATTTATCACAGAGTATGAGAAACACACACAAAGAAAAATCATGAGAGAAAACAGTATACTTTCTGTTTTTGATTCCTTACTGTAAAAGGGGCAGAGAGAGCACGTGGAACTGCTTTTCTTTTAAAAGTAAATTATTTGTGTGTGTGTGTGTGTGTTGCAGGGAGAAACCTGAATGATCACGCAAGTGTACTCAGGCATGTATGTGAATGCTTGCAGAGGCCGGGAATAGTGTCTGACCACCTGGAGGTGGAGTTACAGGCAGCTATGAGCCATCATCTGGGTGCTGGGGTCCTCTGAAAGAGCAGCCAGTGCTCTGAACAGCCGAGCCACCTCTCCAGCTCCTCTTTCCTTCCTCTGAAATGGAGTATTGCTACATAGTTGATAATCTACCTAGCACAGCCTACTAAGCCATGTCTGGTTGGAACCGTACACCTTAAATGGATGAACTGCATGGGCTATAACTGTATCTCAGGTTATTTTTAAAAAAAGTGAACTCAAATGCTTATTCTGGCTGACATCTGACGAGACAGATTTTGTTAATTTTGGCTACATTTTTGATCGATTGATTTTTTTAGTGGAGGTGCTAGAAATTAAATTTTTAAATAATTAACAAAGATAGCTGAGCAGTGGTGGCGCACGCCTTTAATCCTAGCACTAAGGAGGCTGAGGCAGGAGGATCTCTGGGTTCAAGGTCAGCCAGGGCCACACATCACAGTGAAACCCTGTCTCAGAAAACCAAAAGAATAAATAGAAAATTTAAAAAATCTAATAAAGATAAAAAATACCAATCAGAAATCCAACCCAAAAGTCAGCAGCCTAACCTTCACTTACTGTTCAGTGACTTTAAAATAACACTAGCTTAGGAGAGACTCCTCTCGTGAGTATAAGTGACTTACACTCTTGCTGCCATGCCTGTGACCGAGTCATGCCACAGTCTGTCAAATGTGCAGGACTGCTCTGGGCCCAGGCTGGCAGCCACATGTGCCATGGCAGTACCATGTTCCAAGGTATGAGACAGGGTAGCAAGCTTATTATAGAAAACCGTCATTGCAGAAAAAGAACTTGCAGGCAAACTACCACACTCAAACCTCCAACCCAGGAGTGAGACCAGCTTCCCCCAGTGTCACTGCTGAGGACGGCAAGGACACCCGCAGGGCAGCACGGTAAAATGTGTGGCACGATGGTCGCTCAGGGAGAAGCATGGCCAATGGTCAGGGCCCAGGGAGAGAGAGCACTTACTGGTTCAGTGAGGGTGCTGTCCTTCTCCAAAAACTGCACGACACAGTACGCCAGCTGGAAGGGATGGGAGAGAGCGGTCACTTCAGCATGGAAACTCCCTTCTAGAACAACGAAAAATGGCTGCATATGGCTGAAATGCTGCCCTCGTCCACCAAAACTGCCACCCACAGGACTCTGAGAGGAACCTCAGGGAAGTACCTTTGGGGCTGATGCTCAGTGGATAATTCTTTCCCTGCCAACCTGTGATAGATTTCATAGCCAGGCCCAGTCCCCAAAACCATAAAAACCAGGGGACATCTTTCAGAAGGACACCACCAACAAAGCAACCAAGTGAAATGAGGTGTGTGATTTTTGAAGATTAGAATGGACAAGCAATATAAAAAACGGAGAAAAATGTTTAATTCAATCATCTACCAGAAATTTCTGAGCTCCTCTTATTTTCCCTTTGAGGCAGTTTTTATATGTAGCGCAAGGTTTCTGCAACCCTCCTGCCTCAGCCTTGGAGTGGTTAGATTATAGGCGTGCACCACCGTGGCCAGCTTCTTTTGTTCAACAATGAGTATGGGAACAAGCCAACTGCACCCGCTAACTCGAGATACCAATCAGAAAACAAGTGGCTATTTCCTGGGAACCCAATGCCATTCGAGTCAACAAAAAATGTCCCTTCTGTAATGTGCCCCATGCCACCCACTTCCAAGGAACTCTGGAGAATGGAATTATTTTTAATTTTTAGACAGGGTCTTGCAATATACAGCCCAGGCTGGCCCCAAACTCATGACTGCTCCTGCCTCTGCCTCCTGAGTGCATGTGTGTGCAAATGTGTGTGATGTTTGTGCATGTGAGAGGCCACAAATGTACATGAGTGTGAACGCATGTGGAGGCCAGAAGTTGACATCGGGTCTTTGTCTCAATTCTTTCCACCTTGTGTCTACACATTAAGGCAATGTTTCTGAACCAGGAGCTAGTCTAGCCAGCCAGCTTGGTCCTGGGATCTTGCCTTTACCTTCTGAGGCTGGACACACAGGCGGCCTATCACGTCTTTTTTTTAAGATTTATTTATTTTTATTCTATGTGCATTGGTGTTTTGCCCCTGCAACTTGAATTGAAGACCAATGTGAGTTGCCATGTGGGTGCTGGGAATTGAACCCGGGTCCTCTGGAAGAGCAGCCAGAGCTCTTAAGCACCAAGCCATCTCTCCAGCAGCCTACCACATCTTATCTGCCATTTATGAGAGTTCTAGGGATCTCAACTCTGGTCCTCATATTTAATGGCAAGCATTTACACAACAAAGCCATCTCCCGACCCTCTCCCAAATTTTGTAAAAAGGACTGTCTGCTTTCTTTCACTGCAGTGCAGTGATAAGCATGGGGAGGACCACTCCCTGTGGAGGCGTGCAGCTGTGCTCAGGTGGCCTTACCTGGGGGTGGTAGACACTCAGGGATTTCACTTTGTGCAAGGGCAGCAACACCTTCAACAGGAAAATCTTGTGCTCTTCCTTCAGTGGTAAGGCAAACCCATTAATTATACTGTGGCGAGAGAACCCAGTGTGAGCATCTGCACATCCCGATTGCAGTCAGGTGTCCTGCCTGCTCTTTTAGCTTTTGCTTTCAGCACGGAAAGCCAATGGGCAAGACATTTATGTCAGAACAAAGAGGGCACTGGTAGGAACAACCACTGCATCACAAAGGCCTCCAGGAGCACAGCCATTTTATCTTTGTTTTTTGTATTGGGGCACAAGTCACATCACGGGGGTGGGGGGGGTGGGGGGGTGGTAAACGGCAGGGGATGAAGGGATCCAGCCCCAGGTCTCCCCACCCACCACGTTCCTTTAAGACGTCTACATTTCTGGGGGTAATTCCAGATCATTATCCTTGTGTGAACTGGAGTGTCCCCCACCCCTGGTGTGCAGACTGGGTGTGGTTTATTCTGTAGGAGAGGCACACCCAAGAAGAGCCTCCACACTGAACATTCACTGGCTTATCTATGAGGTTTCAGATCAGGCAAAGTGAACAACTGCTTCTCAGAGCTAGAGTCAGAACAATGGTAACTCGGTCCTCCCGGAGTCATGCCCCCCTCCCATACCCATCAAAGGTGGCCAGCACATCTGGAGGGGGATGTTGGGTGGACCCGGAGTTCGAGGAAGGATTGAAAAGACAGCGTGGTGAGATTTACACTTAACACAGTTCACACCACCCCTGTACATGACAGAGGGCCACACCAGGAGGAACCTGACCTTTCTTCCCATTCAATACAAGTAATTTGCCCAAGGTCACATGACTGGGAAGGGGCACTGTGAGCCACACTAAGTAAGCCATGTTGTGATGACAGACCATCCTAAGTCCAGCCACTTTTTCAAATCCTATCTGAAGCAGCAACTTGAGAGGGACCAGACCCACCAGACAACAGTTTCCTTGTGTGTGTGTGTGTGTGTGTGTGTGTGTGTGTGTGTGTGTGTGTGTGTGTGTGTGTTGGGGTGGTTCAGGCTCAGACAACAGGTTCAGAGGCTGCAGGGAACCAGCAGACCTTACATAGAACCAGGTGTCTTCACCGCAGAGCTACTCAGAGCCTTAAGCTGCGAGCAATGCCCATGGTTCCCCTTGAGGCCCTGGAGGGAGCACTGTCCTGTGCTTGGCTCCAAGGAAATCTTGAGAAACAGTGGCTCAGGGGGTCTTACATTATTTCTACAGGCCATTAGGGAAAAAGTAAAAACTTTACTCAGAGTAAGATGATGCAAAACTGAATTATATATATGAAAAGTCAACAGGTTGAAGCAACTTACAATATTAGCATTTACTCAACACCTTATATACATAATCTAATCTTCAAATAAGCTTGTAATATCAATCTTCTTCTGTAACTATTTTTAACACTACTAGAGGAGGAAAAAACTCAAATCCCATAGTTTCCATAGTAATGGATTGAGGGCTCTGCCTACGGGGCCACAAGGATGGAAGTGAGTTGTTGTTTGCGCCCTTTATGAGTTCACCAACTTCCTTCTCCTTGCGTGAAACTCTACTTCCACCCTTTCAGGACCTGGCTGAAAGCTCTGTGCGCTGGAGGGGACAGAGCCAATGAGTTAGACCATCCTGGGTATCAGCTCTACTATAGCCTTGCTGCCAGGGACAGGAACTCACCTTCCCAGTATTTCCAGTAATTCTGCTATGCCATTGTGATGCTCTGTCTCATAAATAAACCTGGAACACACAATACGTCATCAGCACTGGACCCTGAGTAAACGCTGTAGACACCACAGCAACCTGAACGAGGAAACAAAGGCCGCAGGAGAAGCCCAGGAGCCTGCAGCAGCGTGCTGTGCCGACACCTTTCAGGGATACGCTCCGGTGTCTGCAGAGCCCACAAAGCCCAAAAGCCTGCAACTGAGGACCTGGGGAGGCAGACAGCCTGTGTAGCTCAAGTGGCTTCCAACATTTTAGTCTGAAAAACTTCAAGTATCCAGGAAAGTTGAAGAAAGCCCACAGCCAACACCCGTGTTTTAACCACTGCCAGGTTCAGCCAATGGCGGTTTGCACTGTTGTTCGCCCGTGTTTACATCTGTCCAGCCTTCTGGCCTGTTCTGCTAAGCCACCTTGCTTCCTGCAGCTTTTCAACGTAAGGTGATGTCTTACTCAGTTTTAAAGCCTCCAATCGCCACGGCTAGAAGCGCCTCTGCCCTACGGACACCACCCCTGCTTCCTCAACACGTCTCTTCCTGTGAGTACTCCCTGCCCACCCTACCTGACGCAGGCTCCCAAGGGAGCTCTGGAAATATGCACCCCACTCTCTGTACCAGCCTGTCTCCTTCCAGACGGGGACAAGGCCTTCCTGTGAACGTGTTTCTGGTCCTAGGACCAAGGCTGGCATCTGTGTACTGCTTAAACATGTCTATCAGGTGAGTGAACAGGGGAATGTCCACCCCAGAGGTGCCCCATGGAAGCCGAACCCCAGCTATTTGACTCTTGGTGGTCTACAGCAGCAGGGCAGTGCATTTAGGACATGGGACAGTGGAAGTGGCCCCTGCCCATCATCAGAGGGAGTGCCTCCCTCAGAAGCAGCTTAGTGAAGCTTCTGGCCCAAATCTATCAGCATCCTGAGTCAAACTGAGTAGCGACCCTGTACCTAAAGGCACAGAAGTAAGTATCCAGACTCAACAGGCCGAGACATCTCCGTATTCTCAAATGGCCAGGCCTCCCTGATGGCCCTGAGGAAGGTAATGTCAGATCCATCAAGAGGGGGGTGTGCGGGGGGGGGGGGGGAGCAGAGTCTGTGACCCCAGGCTAGACAGCATGTGGGCAGGCTCCAAGGCCACTGGCAGCCAGACACAGAAGCATGAAGGCGTGCTTGGTTGTAGTCCAAAAGTATGGCTGCGAGGGCACTGCCAGCGGACATCAGGATGCGAGTCACACCCGCTTCCTCCCCCCCCCCCAGCACAGAGCCGGTCATCAGTCAGGCTTCAGCTGCCAGTGCGGGAAGTGAGCGCCCGGGCTTGCTTTTCAGCCTTCCTGAGTTACGGGAGGATGGTGGTTGTTGTATGGCACGTGGCTTTCCACATTAGTATCATCTTATGAGAGCCTCTTAGTCCTAAGAACTTGTACCTGACTGTGTAAGAGAGAGGGGAGGGGAAGAGCTCCCAGAGGGGGCGGTCTGGGAAGCAGAGCGGACATCAGAGCAAGCTGGAGAGCTCACTCTACAGTACAACCCCAGACTGATCTGAACCCGGGCTCCAGCTGCTGCTTAGAGCAGTCTCCCATTGGGTACGCAGCACTGCACCTCGGACAAAGAGGTGGACCCACTGCCCTTCCCGAGGAGCGGAACTGTCCTGTGGTTTGCCTCGATACCACCAAGGGTGGAAATAAGTGGCACTGATTTGAGGCTAATCCCCTGAGGAGACTGGCGGCTCCTCCTGACTCCCACCGAGGTTGCCGAGGCTAGCTAGGAGAGGCAGCTCATGCCTGTAATTCCGACACTGATAAGGTGGAGGCAGGATGTTACTGTCAGTTCAAGGTCAGCCAGGCCTCAAAAATAAAATAAAAAATAAATCACAAGGCATGACCAGAGAGCCATGTGGACAGAGACACACAGCAGTGACCAGCCACCCTGGACGACACCATGGGCAGCACAGCACAGCAGTCACGCTGCGCCCAGGTCAAGGACCGACTGAGAGGGGTAACCGGTGGTGACCTAAGCCATGGCACTGGGTAGGGCAGCAGGAGAAGGCCTGGCTGCCTGCTGGCCTGGCTGGCCGCCAGGGAACCACTTGCTAAAGCCAGCGTTGGGTCGCTTGTTGGCTCACACCAACAAACCGACTCACAGAGAAATCACAAGCAGCAATCTTAGCTTTCAGTAAGTTAAACCAAACTGTTTAAAGCTGCATTTTCTTACAAGACCCTTACCCAGAATGCTGGGGACCATCAGTCTACATTGTCAGGAGTCATTCAGAGCCACATTTGCATATGCATGAGATATGTCTTGGGATATGACTCAAGCTAAAACCAAAAATCCAATTACTCTATTCAATTACTCTTTACACAGAGTTGGAAGGTAATGCTATGTAATATTTTTAGCTTGGAGACAGGCTCTCTTTATGCTGTCCAAGCTGGTCTGTAAGTAACTATTAGGTTCAAATGATCCTTCTGCCTCAACTTCCTGGGCAGCTGGGACTGTAGGCACGAGCTACCATACCTGGCCGTTCTTGCATTTTTAACTATGACCTGTCACACGAGTCAGGCATGGAATTTTCCACTGTGGCATCATGTTAGTGCTCAAAGTACTCACTTTTTTTTTTTTTTTTCCCCCTGTTTTGGTTCTTTGAGATGGCTCAGCTGTTAAAGGCAAGGCTCGAAACCAAACATATTCAAACTTTTAAGTGTGTGCATTTCTGGGTCGGGACACTGAACACTCACAGTTCTGTGCTGCCATGATCTGGGAAACTGACTCTTCCTGACTCTCCACATGGAAAATTGACAAAAGATGCAAGCCAATTGGGGATTCTAAGTAATGCGCTTGCTTTGGAGCGCACATATAAAAACAAGTATGGAAAAGATGGCCTAAGGGGGGAAACACAAAACTGCCACGCTGTAGCATTCACCCTTTAGTGAGAACTACTGGGTCATGTGATGCCCTGTGCATAGATGACTGAGTGCCCCGCCCGGGTGATCAAGGTAAGCTTTAGGCGCCATAGGAGACATCGCCACTTCCACACTGGTTAGTCAACAGATTTGGGATTCTGGTGTCTGATCAAAACCACTAGTCCTGGGGACACAAACACTACAGCCAGGCCTATTTCAGGGCCAAGAGACTGGGATTTAAGTAGCCCGCACTCTGTGCAGAGCGTGAGTTCAGCTGGGTAATGCTCTCCTGAGGAAGCAGAGCTCCAAGAAGTGAAAAGCAGGAGCTGACATCATTCCCCGACTGCAGTCAGCACGGCAGGGCTGGGCTGGGCCCCACTGCAGAGACAGTTTATATCATGAGGGGCCTGGCGAGGGCTCGAAGGGAAGCCATACGACGAGGGCCCAGCATCATACTATGCCATCGGGCAAAGGGCACACAGGCCGAGAAGACCAGGAGGCCCACGTAAGCGGCTCAGTCTCACGTCTCGGCTCCCCTTTCTTGGCCACTTCCAGTCACTGTGGGGAAGGAAGGACCGGAAGGACCAGGCAGGCATAGGCAGGCCCTGGCCCCCAGCTAGCCTGTGAGAGACTTACTTTATATCAGATGGGTATCACACAGCTGCCATCACTGCTAAGATTTGTTACTTTTAGGCTTCCCTGGAAGCTGACCCAAGAAGAAGCCAAGAATTACAAGATAGCCTTGGTAAAGTTCCAGATACTAGTAAGAGAGAGCTAAACAAATGAGGCTGGGCCCAGTGACACACACCCTTCACCCCGGCAGAAGCAGGAGCTCACTGGCTAGCCAGTTAGAGGCTAGCCAGGGCTACAGAGCCACACAGGCTTCCACCAGCACCCACTCTGTACGCTGGTGCCACTGAGGCTGCTCCTGGGGAGGAAGGGCCGGTCAGCTGGGTGGACTTCCTGGGGAAGCAGGTTTAAGGGCTCAAAGCAAGGCGGGGCAGGCAGGACAGCCTGGGACGCTGTGGCTGCTGTGTGGCTGCACACGTTAACCAGACAGCAGCAGTGGTACGCAGCATGACAGTGAAACCCTGGCTCATCTGGACCTCTATGCAGCTGAGGCTGGCCTGAGCTGCGGTGATCTTTCTGCCTCGGCCTCCCAGACCCGGGGGTTACAGGCATGAACCTTCATGCTCACCTGGGACCTTAGCCCTTACGAATCACCAGGTGATGTCAGACATCGGGGGTCATAGCCATCAATATATTTGAAGGGCCTGGGTAACAGGAAAGCTGTCCTGCTCTACCTGCCGCCAGGGAGCAGAAGCAAGAGTGGACTAAAAGGAAGAGGGCAGCCAGAGCTGCACAGGGAGACAGGGAGGGGCAGGCACAGTGTGATGGTGTGGTGGGGGTCACTGGCAAATGACTAATGCACTGCTCAGTTTCCCTCCCCTGTCTTTGACCCGATAGCATCCAGGGTGGGCCACAGCCACACGGGGACTTACCTATAAAATATATTATTTATCTGTTTCCTGATGTAAGCGCGCAGACCTAAGAACTTCCCGTAGATTCTGTGAAGGGTAGTTTTTAGAAAATCTCTCTCCCGAGGATCCTCGCTGTCAAAGAGCTCTAGAAGCTTTAAGAAAAACACAGCACTCAGTGACAGTGACCATCCTGTAGTTAAGGCCGCTGAGGAACACCTAGCTGTAAAACTTACCTGTAATACAAACTTCTGATCAATATATTTCTTTGCTATATTGGGCTGGAAATCTGGAGACTCTAAAAATCTTAAGAAAAATTCATAAACAAGCTAGGAGAAAAAAAAAAAAAAACACAATGAGTCAAATTACTTGGTATTTCATTAGGTTGATTAAGAACACCTCACATTCAGTCTTTATTTGCTTGAAAACGCTAGACTTAAGAAACACACATACATTCGAAATTAATGCTGAATTGCGTGGCTTAGCATAATTATAGCTGCAGCTGGAATGCTTTTATTCAGCGAGAAGCACAGACTGCTTCTTAAATGGTGCACCGTGCTTTCCATGGCGCTCGGCCACTACACTAGGGGCCATGACCAGCTTGGGGTGGGATCTGCAGTTTGCCCTCTACATGTATCATGAAGTTCTGGGTGGACAGGAACTAAAAGAATTGCCTGGGAGAGGAACACAAAAACACAGACACGGAAACACAACCATTATGGCTCCCTTTGTAAATAAACAGCACAGTTGGCTGGACAGCATGGATGGTCTGTTATAAGTTGTGTGGAAACCAGATGCCTTGAGGTGCAGCATCTGGCTCCTCCCTTCTAAGGACACATGTAAATGTTCTGCTCCTGCTGGCCTCACAGCCAGTCGACCTTGCACCTTACAGGCGTGCTGGGAAGTATCTGTCAGCAAGGAGGCCACATGCACAAGGGCATCGTTAACCCAGGCACTGAAGACTGGAAGCACGCCTGGGAAATGCCCTATACCTGTGCTGGCTGGGTTTACGTCAAACTGACACAAGCCAAAGCCATCTACGAGGAGGGAACCTGTCTTCTCAAGCCTGTAGAGCATTTTCTTAATTAGTGGTTGACCAGGAAGAGCCCAGCCCATGGTGGTGGGACCACCTCTGGGCTGGTGGCCCAGCAAGCGCACTCCATGGCTTCTCCATCAGCTCCTGCCTCGAGGTTCCTGCCCTGTCTTGGATTCCTATCCTGATGTGCTTTGATGATGACCAGTGATGTGGAAGCCTAAGCCAAATAAATCTTTTCCTCTCCGAGTTGCTTTGGTCATGGTGTTTCGTCACAGCAACAGCAATCCTAACTGGGACAAAACCCACATTCAATGTCATTACTAAAGCTACTATCGTCACTAAGGACAGGGAAATAAGCCTACATCTCTGCAGCTTGTGTAATGGATTTTCATAAATTCAGTCAGTCAATCAATCAATCAATCAATCAATCAATCAATCAATCAATCTCTTCCTCTTCTCCGCCCCCCTCCAGTAAAAAGAGATCTGTTTAGATCAGAAACCCATTGGTATTTACACCATTCTATCTGGTGGGAAGTCCAGTACCTGCAGATGAGGCCAGGCTGCTTCTAACGTTGGTTCATCTTCTTCTGGGTCAAATTCTGCTCCCGTGGGATTGGAGGAGGGTGGCAAGGTTCGAAACATGTTAACTGCAAACTAAAACCCACATATTCCATGATCACAACCAGGATACTTAAGTATTTCCAAGAACATTCCAAGGAACACTAAATGATCCTAGCGATAGATGCTTCCCATTGTAAGCTGTTCTTTTTTCTTAAAATTCAGAAGTGGTGTGGGTCTCCAGAGAAGACAGGGACAGACCTGCAGCTTGAAACAGACCGTTCTGGGCATGGGACCACAAAACTGACTGCTATAACCACTCTGACCCTCATCGGTCAAAGACAGCTGACCCCAGTGGATGGTTAAGAGGTTAGCACTGACTTGGGAGACTGTGGCATCCAGTGAGCAGGTAAGCAAAATGCCAGACAAGAACAAGATGACGAAGACCACAGGAAAGACTCAGGAAACAAGGACACCGAGAATACAGCAAAGGCTACATGGCACAGGGTGGGGCCCATAACAACCATGGGAACATAGGACAGCTGAGCAGCTTCTGGGGCAGCTGGAGATCACTTCTGACACAGGACTGCTCACTAGCACAGGAAGGGCTGATGGAGGAGATTGTGTCTGGGGGCTGGCTGATCAGAGCCCTTGGTCTGTCTTGACCTGCACGAAACACTTGATTGGCCAGTGATAGAAACAGCAAAGTCTAGTTTTTCTAAGTCATTGACTTGTTCAGTATTTTGCATTAAGTCTAAATAGGACCTGTTATCTTATAACAAGTATGAACCCACCAAATGCCAGTTACAGTTCTGGATCTGGTAACGGGCTTATAGGTGATCAAAAACTCCTTGCCCCATCATCAGGAGGCAGAGGCGGGCAGATCTCTGTGAGTTCAGGACCCGCCTTGTCTACATAGAGTCCCAGGATAGGCAGAGTTGTTAACACAGAGAAACCCTGTCTGGGTGGGGGCGAGTCCTTGTCCCACATTGTCAAAAACACAAATCCAAATATGTGGCGTAAAGGCCAATGCCAGCTCTCGGAAGCCTCCTGGGAGGTTGGCACTTCAGAGGCCTGGTCTGGCCAAGTGAGCGAGCAGTCGATATTCCCCAGTTCTTTTAAAGGTTTGCTTTCATCGTATGTGTCTGGGTATTTCGCCTGCATGACTGTTTTGTGTGCGATGTGCACGCTTGGTGCCTGTGGAAGCCAGGAGAGGATGCTGGACGTCCTAGAACTGAAGTTACAGATGCTGCAAGCCATTATGTGGTGTGGGGAACTGAACCCGGAACCTCTGCACCACCAGAGACTTCTTTCCTTGCTGTCACTGATACCCAGCTTGCAACCGGGACATTTGTTATGATGTTACCAGCAGCTTCCCGAAGAGTGAAGGAGTACAAGGGAGAAAAGATGGCTGCAAACCCAGGAGCAACGCAAACCACGACAGGAAGAAGGACATTTCTTGGCAGATGGGGGACCGGGACAGGGAGGGCTTCCTGAGGTAACACACTTCGGAAGATCAAGGACGGGGTAAGAAGATGGGGTGGCCCAGTCACACACAGCCTGGGCAGGTCACGAGTCCCTCCCAGGGCCTACCCAACAGAGACAGAACTGACCCTGCCTCAGCAGCCGACTCCCTGTGCTCCCTGCACCTTTCCAGGCTGTGAATGTGTTGGGAGAAGGAAGTTAGAATCGAGTCCTTTGACCACACTGACTGACTGTCCCCTTTCTCCTCAGATGCTAAGCTCCTCAGGCGCTAGGGAGCCTTCACAAATGGCAGACTGGCACTATGCTGTCCGGTACAAGCGCAGGCTCAGGCAGGAGCCGAGCCAGGAGCAGAGTAAGGTGTGTGGATACCCAGGGGGGCCAGCATATGCGCAGCAAGCTGGGGATCCAGAGGATGCTGGTGATGCTGAACACCGTCCCACAGCCATGGACATGAGAGTGAAGCACCGTAGCTTTGGCCCAGCGTCTCCCATGGAAAACCTATAAGCCAATGTATGCCACAGTGACTAATCTAACGGGCTGAACTCATCTTCCTGGAAACCACACAGGCAGTGCCTGCCTCCGTCAGGCTATGCTTGTGTGTGTGTGTGTGTGTGTGTGTGTGAATAAATGGGGTACACAATCGTCATTAAAATGTTTTAAAATTATCAAAATGTATTGCAAAGTGGAATTTCCAAGGCCACACAATCCAAAGGCAAGTTTGCCAGCAGCTAAGACTATACCCCTCTAGGTTTATTTTTAGAACCTACTTATATAAGGAATCAATAACTCAGTCTCTGGTATGAGTGACACTTTGCTGTTTATTTCGTGACTCACTTTCTCTATGCTATTTTGATTTCATCCTTATGAATTTATTTCTATGTCATAAACATAAAATGACACTTCACACCATGTGCTTTTAATATCCTAGTCACCACTTAACCTAATCTAACCGACTCTCCATGAAAACAGTGTTGCAGTTTAATGTTCTAAACACAAACAGGCAACGGAAAAGTTGGGGTATGGTATATTACAGTTTGGGGATGCTTGCCTGGAAAGTGTGAGGCGCTTTAGGTCCAATCATCTGTACTGCAGAAAGCAATACTCACAACTAAACCAAAACCCTAAAGCCAAAAAATTAACCCCATTTCAAGGTATCAGCGTTGGCTCAGTTGTTAGGAGCACTCATTCTTGAGAAGGACCTGGGTTCAATTCCCAGCACCCACATGGAGACAACTCACCACTTCCTCAGGCACAAGGCATGCATGTGGTGCCTAGACATACGTGCAGACAGAGCACATGCTTTTTCTTTAATTTGCTTCACAATGAGGGTTGAGTGAGTTCAGTGTCTGTCTGTTATATGTAGTCCCACAGGCACGCTGTGAGGCACGCATCTATAAAAATACTTAAAAATTAGAAACAAGACCTAGAGTAGCCCAAGCAGGGGATTATTTCGGTGTCACTTGGTAAACGCTCTGCAAAGCCTTGGAAGGACGGCTGCTTTCTGGCCCACGTCTGAGGCCACAGAGCGGAGAGGACAACTGGACCACAGTGGCTATCCGGCTTTCTAACACGTCCCCTGTAGTTATGTGGCACGCGGCTGTGAGAGCTCTCTGCACGTGGACGCCAGAGGCCAACTGTGGGTGTCACCCCTGACGCAGCACACTTTTTTTGGCTGTTGTTTAAACACAGGCTGTGGCTGGCCTGGAAGTCATGCTTGCCAGTCAGCAAGCTCTGCGGGCCGCCCCCCCCCGTCCTCGCCGCCCCGGCACAGCTGCTGCAAGTGTGCTCTACCATGTCCACCTTGCTTTTTGTTTTACATGGGTTGTGGGAACTGAACTCAGGCCCCACTTTACTGACTGATGTCTTCTTCTTCTTTCCTCTGCAGTCATTTGCACTTAAGAGAATTAAGCTATCGGCCTAAAGCGACACAATTAGTGCGTGCATGGTCTATCCTCACTTTTCTGGAGCACGCTCCTCCCCAACTTCACTATGTTGTTTGGTGGATCACGATCATTGTGCCCACTCCTTGGCTATGGTTATGGATTAAAGGCACGCAGGGTACGTGGGCATCAGGCCAGCTGTCTGAGGGTCAGTCTTTCCTTGGAGATTGTAAGAGCCACCACCATCTAAGGACGTCTAAGAGAATACAGCTGCACACCGAGCAGGGACATGGGGCACAGAGAGAAAGTCGTCCCGGTGAGCCTGTGTGTGGGCCGAGTCTGAGCTAGCCTAGAACGCCCAGCAAGTTCTTCTCTGAGTATGTGCAGTAGTGACCTGACCAGCTGAACCTAGAACTGGAGTTGTGCATCCTTCTCGAAAGAAGTCAGGGTTCTGTGGAGTAGCTCCTCTCCCTAAACATCTCGGATCAAATCCACCCTACACCTTGTTTCTAGCTAACACCTCCCACATCTGCCCATTTCTCTCGGTACCCCGATACTTCTACCAGCCAGCTTCATCAGGTTCCAGGGGTCCAGACTCCAGCCTCCTTTTGTGCCTCAGGCCTTTGGAGCACTGTCTATGCCAGAGCCAGTTCACCCTCCTGACAGTGGCGGTGGCTGTCTGACTGTCTCCCAGCCGGGTCCACAGAGGCTCAGGAGGGCTGAGACTCCAGCAGTCCCCTTTTTAGTGGAGTGCTGGAGTGCATAAGGGACGCAGTGTGTTTCCTGATTCAGTGATGCACCGAGCTGCCTTCTGCTAGTGATCCAGCACAGGTGGCTGGGTAACCCTGGAGCTCCACGCGCCGTGAAGGCCCCTGAGCCAGCCAATCTAGCCAAACACTGCTCTAGCCAGACCCTTTTCTGCCCTCAAGGTTTCCCTCCCCAAATCCAAGGCTTTGTAGAAAGCAGCATCACCTGACTTCAGTGATTCAGAAGCTCAACTTTTCTGTCAGGGAATTTATAGTCTGCAGGGTTTTGCTTTATTTTTACATAAATTAACTCATTCGGGGTAGGGATGTAACTGGCCTCTCAATTCCTTGCAGCAGGCTTGACCGTAACAACAAACAGAAGCAGTGCTGTAGGCCCAGGCCCACCGCCACCATTGCGATGCAGGAGCCACAGTGCCAGATGCTTTCGTCTTGCCACAGAAGGAGCAGCTGCACTTGGTGTTTTGGATGACCTCAATCTTTCCCATAGAAAGGAACCCTGGCAGGTCCAGATTTATCAACAATAACCCTGACCTTCTCAGTGTCTTCCGCCACGTCACTGTGACCCAGGCCTGAGCCCAGAAAGAAGTCAAAATCTCTGTTAAACATGTGGCAGGTATACCTCTCCGCGGCCTGGGTGTCAGATGATCGGAGTGCTGCAGGGCACCCCAGGAGTCTGCTTCTGCAGGGTCAGGGTTATCCAGCAGCCTGGACCTCTGGTAAGCTTCCAAAGGGTATGGTGTGGGAGACACGGCCTCTGATGACAGCTACGTTGTAAGATAAGAGCTGTCCTTAACCTTTTTGGACTCAGGATCCAGCTAAGCTGCTAAAAATTACCAGGGACCCCTAACGAGCATTTTATCATTCTATCTACTAGGGCCTGATATGTGAGAAATTAGCTACAAATTGGAATAGTAATTATGCCTAAATATAAAATACTTATGAGAAGTAGCTAGTAACCTAGAGGGTTCAGCTGGAGGAGTGGCAATGGTTTATATTTTCAACGGCTGTCATGGCTGTTCTTGGCTGTCAACTTGACTACCTCTCAATGAAATTAACTAGAGTGCAAATGGCTATGTACACCTGTGGGAATTTTCTTAATTACATCACTTGAAGTGGGAAAACCCACTTTACACCTGGGTCATTTGAGATGGAGGATGCCGTTAAGCTGGCCACACGTTTTGGCGGCAGCCTACATAAAGGACACAGAAGAAAGGAGCTTGTGCCCTTTGCCTGCTTGTTTTCCCTTTCCCTGGCAAGTCCACTCCTTCACTGGCACTCAGCCTCCTTCTTCAGGGTTCCAACACATACTACACCGAAGACCAGCTGAGACATCCAGTGTCATGAACTGAATAACTACTGGATTCTTGAATCTTCCATTGGTAGACAGCCTTTGCTGGACTAGTTGGACCACAGCCTGTCAGCCATTCTAATCAACCCTTTCTGTGTATAGATACACTCATCCCGTCCCTCCAGGGAACCGACTAGCACACTAGGCGTGGCTGTACGGAGAACTGCTGGGCCACCCTGCCCCACTCAGGCACACATCCAGAGGGAGGACCCTTCAGCAGCCAGGCAGCGATTTACTACGGGTGACACGCTATATGGGGATGACCTGCCCCTGCTTCCGTCAAACCCAGGTGGGACACACACTCAGTGTGAATGGATCTTTTGCCTGAGAGTGATTTTGTTTACGTCATCTGGAAAACATCAGTCTGCTGAGTTAGACAGATCCCAATGACTTACCTCACCCCCATGCTACCAAGCCCAAATCCCCTTGGAGGCTCATATGCAACAACAAATACCATCAGTTATTTCCTGCAAAGTATAGCCCCCGCCCCTTCTAATGAGCGAAATGTCAGGTAAATACAGGGTTTTGGCAGCACTTTTCAGGTGAAAACAGTTTCCATGCATACAGTGGTGGACTCTGCACCGATCCATGCAACCTTCTCTGAAGAGAAGACATGGCTCAAGGCCCCGGGTGTCATGCAAACACCAGAGCTATCCTCCATAGCTCACCTGACATTAACCTATTCCACCGTTTCAGCTTCTTACAGTGAATGTGTGGGTGTGAACACAGCAGTCATAGGGCCATTAGCTGGCTGGCTTCTTGCTGTCACATGTTGTACCCACTATTGCCCCTGCATCATGAGCGTAATGCCAACATAGCAACACAGTGGAAGGGCCAAAGTCCTGGTGTTACTAGGGAAATGTCTGACTTCACAGAGTTTCTGGAGGGTCCCGGGAACCAGGAACCTATGAAGCACTGATCTGCACAAAGGCTTGAAGCCTTAGACATCGTATGTAAAAACTGAAGAAGGTCTATTCTTCAATTTTGAAAGGCTCCAACTCCAGAAGGTTGTAGGCAAAGCAGTTCACTTTGTTACCCTTACATCTTAGCTATACTGCAACTTAAGTTTTGCCACCTGCATTGACTGTTAGATGATGCCCAGGCCTAAAAAACAGATTAACTAGCTAATCTAATTGGAAAAGCGAATGGCTGGTCATATTTGGAGTCTGAAACGAAGACACAATGGAGCTTTGCCATGCACGCCTGAGAAGCAGGAGGCCAAGTGTCCCTCCTGCACCCTGCTGTCCCACCCTCCCCACTGGCTTGGAACTTAAAGTTCTTTACTGTGCAAAGGGAAAGGGTCACACCAGCTGGCCTGTCAGGCTCTGGTCTGTAGTGAACTAACACCTTTGGTATATTAAAACACATGTAGACAAATGCAAATCAGAACCACAGTGAGCTGCCAGGTCCCACTCACACGGACATTTGACCCAAACAGGCAACAAAGTGCAGGAAATGTGGAGACACTCACACCCAGACTGCAGACAGCAGTGTGAACTAGCGAAGCCATTCCAAAACCAGCCCGGCAGACTTTCAAACTGTGAGCCACAGAGCACTGCACCGCCAGGTACACACCCAAGAGAGAGGTTTGCACGGTGCTGCTGCATGGAAGCTTTATTCGCTGAGGCTCAAGTCCAAGCTGGCGTGGTGGTGCATGTCTGCGAGCCCCGAGGCAGGCAGATCTCTGTGTTCCAGGCCAGCCTAGCCAACACACAGAGTTCCAGGTGTGTTGCAGAGTATCTGTCTGCATGAAGATATGTCTTTGCTAAGGTGCCTTCTGATTGGTTTAATAAAGAGCTGAATGGCCAATACCTAGGCAGGAGAGGATAGGCGGGATTTCCGGGGAGAGAGAGGAAGAGGAGGAACCTAGGCTTGAGAATTTTACTAGCAGACTCAGAGCACATTGGCATTGGATGTGTGGTATTGGGAAGAGGTAACCAAGCCACCAGAATGTAGATTAAAAATTATGGATTAAATTATAAGGGCTAGTGGGACAAGCCTAAACTAATGGCTAAATTTTCATAATTAATAAGTTCCTATGTTGTTAATTAGGGGCTGGCGATCCAAAGATAGCCCCATAAGAAAGCTTGCTACACAGGTCAGCCAGCGCTACGTAGTGAGACCTTGTCTCAAAACAAAAGGCCAGAAATAACACTAATGCCTCCAACTGATGAATAAATGGACAGAGGCGGCTCAGTGGTTAGGAGTACACTGGCTGCTTACACAGACATGCAGGCAAAACACCTATATACATAAAAGTAAAATAAAAATTAAAATTAAATCCTTATGAGTGTATCTATATATAATATTATGACAAAATTATTTGTCTAAAAACAGGAATGAAATACAGGCATAGGCTAAGACATGGTTTATATTCAACCACACTTGTCATGAAAGACATGTTGTATGAGCTCATTTCATTAACTGTCCGTCCTGGGCAGTCAACCTACAGAGACAGAGAGCAGGTCAAAGGTCGCTCAGTTCAGGCAGAGGTGAGGGAGCGGGACAAGATCTCCCTTGGGGAGAAATGTTGCACTGTTGGAAGTGATGAGATACGCCCTATGTTAAAAACTCAAACTGCCCAGGCGGCAAGGTGAGCTGCAAGGTAAATAACACCTTTACAGCCATTAAGTCACACAGCACTCCAGTCAAATAGGCCATGTTTGTATAGCTACACTGCTGTGGGTTCCTTAAAGTTAGTGGAAATTAATGTCTCTAAAAACACTAAAAACAAAGTTTACACACACTCCATACTTCTCACGAGAATGGGCCCAGAGCAGGACTCGCTGAGGAGGAGGCCTTGGTTGGCTGCCAGAATTCCGTATGTTCTCTCTGTCTTACTTTGGGTTTGAAATGTTCCTCATGGGCTCATGTGTTTGAACACCTGCTCCTCAGCTTATGACATGTCCTGGGAGGGGTGGCTGGTAAAAATGAGTCACTGGGAGTGGGCCTTTGAGGGACACAGGCTGGCTGGCGCTCCCTTGGCTTCCTGATTCATCAGATGAACACAAGTCAGACACACTGCCAAGCACCACGACCTTTCCCACTGCCAGGCAGTTTGTCATAGTGATGAGAAAGGGACTAACAGGCCATCGGTCCACACAAACAGCAACAAATACAACAAAAGTTCAACCTCTCTCCGTTCCTACTCTTCTCAGAAAGCACCAGGCACACCGGAGGCCAGGGAGAGCACACACAGGTGTCTGCTAGTCTGAGTACTTCAGGACTCTCTTTAGATCGTCTCGGCCACATGGGAGAAAAGAAGAAACCACACCCTCAGCCTTGCAACTCAGGGTTGCTTTTCTTCAGGACAGCACCATCTGAAACAATGCAGGACAGGTTGGTTTATTTTACCCTTGTCTCCCACGTGGGATGAAAAATTTGGGAGGGCAGAAATCTGTCCTTTCTCTGTGCCTGACCCACAGAAGAAATTCAGGAGATGTGTGTCAAATCCTTCTGGAAGCCACCGGCTCACCTCAAGGCAGGGCAAGATGTCCAGGAGAGAGAACAAAGTTAAGACAAAAGCAGAGACCTCTAGCTGGGGTACCGCTGTAACAGGAGAAGCAATGGCCAATCCAAGAAAGTGGTCTCCAGAGTGACAGGCGCCCATGTGCTTCTGGGACTGCCCACTGCTCCAGGGAGGCGAGTGAGATACCACCTCAGGCAGCCCGGAGCATGTCTGGAGCTCAAAGGTAGGCATTTGACCCACATAATGCAGATTCTTCCTTCTTGGATCAAAGAGTGTAAATTAGGCAACGCTGGCTGCCAAGACTCTTAAGAATAGAAATCTTCCATAGTGTAACTGACATACTAACCAACTTAATAGGTACCAAGAAAGAGACTTAATTTTAAAAGAAAGTTGAGTTCAATATGTTCATCTTAAATGAATGGAGGAAATGGATCTTAAACATCTGATCAAGGGCACATTTAATAATCACAGAAGAAAATGAGGCTATACCCTTGATGTGGGCCATCCAACAAGTTCCGAGAGGACTCACGTAACACAAGAGCAAAACCCCGAAAGCTGTAGATGATACTCAATACAGTTCCTTAAGATTCCGGACTTGAGGCTGGCTTCCACAGCACATGAGAGTTGGAAATGAGGAAAAGACCAGGAGCTTTGCACCCTGCCGAGGGCATCTGCTTTCTGCTGAGTGCTAGAATTTCCCTGCACATGGATGGGCAAGATGTTTGCTTCTAAACTACAAGAAGCCACAGGGACAACACTAATGTTACATATGCTTAAAAAAAAAAAAAAATCAAGCCAAAGAATTTAGAGACAATGTCATAGTAAACACAAACCAAGTTGGAACATTTCTATCCCACAGGAGAGTGGTGACAGTTAAATGAATGCAAACCGCTCCTCTCCCCATTAGGATATACTGCAGTCCTATCCTGTATATCCTAATATATAGGCTCGCCCAGCTCTTTGGGGTAAAGGGAGGGTCCATTCCTAGGTGTGGCTGTGTTGGGTGAGGGCTCCAAGGGGCCCTGCTGCAGCTCAGGAGTGAGCTGTGAAACTGTCGTCACTTACCATGTGGACGACCTCTGGGTAAATGGGCTCTGTGATCACATTGCGGTTGTGGGTGATGTACTCTACCATCTCACTCAGGGCCGCCCGCTTCACCTCCTTCCACTTCAGGTCACTCAGCGGGTCAGAGACAAAGTCAAAGAGGACACAACACTGGCGAAGCTTCTGGATGAAGAGCTTCTCTTGATCCGCAGGAGGGACATCTGAAAGGCAGAGCAAGGGCTGTCAATCACATAGCTGCTTCACCCACAGGGCCCAGGGCACACTGCTCAGCCCCCGCGGATGCCATGCTGGTGACAGCAGGCGCCTTCTTATGACGACTTCTCCTTAACTGAGTCCTGAATGGCTAGCATCAGAGAGAAAGGGCTCTCGGACACCGCTACATGAATTCCACGACCCGTTTCAACCCACGCAGAGGTAAAAAGCAGTGATGCTGGGTGAGGAGGTTGGGACGCGCTGCTAAAGGATGCTGTGAGATCATGAACGCCACCAACCACACCACCACATACGGAGCGGGCCGACATCTGAACACCCAATGCTGTCCACAAAGACAGCTTCCTTTCTGACTAGCTATCTTCTTACTAGCCTTTGATCCGCATCAACTCTACACGTTTGTTCACATTCCAACTTGCCAGATGCCTTAAGTAAACTTGTACTTGTCAGAGTTTTTGTCCATATAGATTCCATTCCGGCTTGTTCATTTTCCCAGCACTATGGAGAACTAAGTTAAGCAGGGCGGTGGCGGCATACACCGTTAATCCCAGCACTCGGGAAGCAGAGGCAGGAGGATTGCTGTGATTTTGAGGCCAGCCATTTTACAAAGTAAATTCCAGGATAGCCAGGGCTGTTACACAGAGAAACCCTGTCTCAAAACACAAAAAATTGAAGAACAATCTCTGAGATTGGCTGTGCGTTGTCGCCAACAGCAGAGAGGTATGAGCTGCGTTACTTCCAGATTAACTAGGACAAAGAGGAGGAAGAGGATGAGGATTAAGACACATTGGAATGTTTTGTATTAACTCATAAATGAAATTCAGGAACAACAACAACAATGAAAGATGGTTGTTTCAAAAGCACATCTCCCAAGTGTTGAGGCTCACTCACACTCAGTCCTCCTCAGGACCCACACAGCCTCCTGTGTTGCTCTTCACTGCCCTCGGTGGTCCCCGGGCCCCCAGATCACGCTTGCCTGTCATCAGGACAGCTGGGGCAGACGCCTCCACTGTGCTTGTGTGCTGGACAAGTGCATCGCTGGACAAGTGCATCACAGAAGACTGACACAGGAGGAGGGCTTCACATTCAAGTCAGCCTGGGCTACACAGTGAGTTCCGGGTTAAGCTGGGCCACAAAATGAGACTGTCTCAATAAACAAACAAACAAATAAAACAAAGCCCATCTACTGCAAGCCTGGTGCTCAATCAAACTTGGAAGCACAACAGGAACACACCAGTTATACATGGACCGGTGAAGGACAGCAAGGAGAGGCAGTATCCCGACACAGCATGGCATCAGGGGAGAGCTGTCACCAGGGGCTGCTCATGAGAGGCCCACAGGGATGTCTTCTAGACACTGAGATGCACTCCCTCCAACACACGCATAGATGTGCGTGCTCCAGGGAAGAACACTAGGTCCTGAGCAGTCACTAACGGAATGGCCAACAGCAGTGTGTGCCTCAACTGTGGAAGGGACTGATAACCCTGGGTACAGACTCTAACTCGAGTCACGGAATGTTTGAGGTGATACAGGACGAGCAACTCAACTGCCTCACTGTACCAAGAGGCATCATGTGAACTCCGATTTGGAAAAAAAAGCCAATAGAGCCAACTAACTTAGTAAAGTATGCATACACGCGCGCATGCACACACATACATGCACACACATCTGCATGCTTATACATATACACACTAAACATATACAATATATACACAAAACAAACAACAAACCATGCCTCCCTCTACACAGCAAATTTCAGTTAAAAGGAAGGGATCTCTGGTCAGGTGTAGTCTCACCTGGCTGCCTTGGAACTATCCATATAGACTAGGCTGGCCTTGAACCCAGAGAGCCTCCTGCCTCTGCCTATGTGCTGGGATCAAAGGTGTGGCTACTTTGTGGGTTTTTAAAAAAAGATTTATTTTATGTTGTATAGGTGTTATTTTTGCATGCATGTCTGTTCACAACTGTGTATAGCACCCCGAGGCCAGAAGAGGGTGTTAGAGTCTTTGGAGCTGGAGTTACAGCAAGGTGGCTGTGGTCACTGAGAGAGTACTAGGAGTTGACTCGGCTGGGTCTTCTATAAGAGCAACAAGTGCTCTGAACTACCAAGCCATCTCTTTAACCCTCTATTTCATTTTTGTTTCGTTGTTTGTTTGTTTGGTTGATAGGGTTTCTCTGTGAAGCCCTAGTGTTCTAGAACTCGCTCTGTAGACCAGGCTGGTCTTGAACTCACAGAGATCTGCCTGTCTCTGCCTCCTGAGTGCTGGGATTAAAGGCGTGCGCCACCACTGCCCAGCTCCATGGATCGTCTTAATGACCATCTCAACCAAGCGAGAGAGCACACGCCTGTGATCTCAGCCTTCAGGGGGCAGGAACACAAGGGCAGAGAATCTGAGGGCAGCCTGCATCGCCCTACACTGTACCACTGCTGTGGTTAAGAATCTTCACCTGTTTTCCTTCACGGCTGGACCATTCACTAACCTTTGTCACATAGAGGCTTGAGGAATGTGTAAGTGTTCAGTATTGAGGTTCCCAGTACAGGAAAACAAGTTATTCCTCTAATCACTCAAATCCTCCTTAAATTGTTCATTAAAATGTGTTCAATGTTATTTTATTATTTATTTATTTATTTATTTTTAGGATTTGCTATGCTATTGAAGATGACATCCGCCCCCCAAATTAATTTTAGACTACTCTTGCAATACAGAAAAAAAAGCCATCTGTAACTAGCTACCCTGATGAGCTGTTTCTGTAAATACTCCTTGAAATGTGCAAGCCCAGGCCCAGTGTTTCTTTTTCCTGTGTGACTGTGCTAGCCAGGACCTCCAAGTAGGACTGAAAGGAAGGAGGAGAGGCCCTTTATCCCCTTCCTAGCTTGGAGGTCATCATGGAACCAACTGTTGTTCATGGAGAAGAGTAAGAAACTCAACCTGTGTAGTCAAAGTTTCCCTGGGCCTGGGTCATGCATGGAGTGCATGGAGCGGAGCAGGGCTTCCCAGAGGAAGACCATAGTGGTCTTCCCAGAGGAAGACCATGCTGCTCCAGAGGCACGACATTTTGTGAAGCTTCATTAACAGCTTAACTGTGCATGGCCACTGCGGGCAGAGGCTGTGTCAGCCTTTCAACACAGGACACTATGTCGGATGGGACACAGGGCCCAGGGAATAGAGACAGAAAGAAAGGAAGACGTTAGATCCCATTACACACAAAACTCAAATAAACTGGAGGGTTACAATGTACATCTAAAAGGCAAGAATCTAATGGCTTTATAAGAATATTATGCTGACTTTTTTTTTTTCTTTTTGGTCAACTTGACATAGCTTGGGTCACCTAAGAAGAGGGAATTTCAACTGAGAAAAATTGAGAAAAATGCTTCCACTAGACTGGCCTGCGGGAAATCTGGGGGGCATTTTCTTGGTTAACGGTTGCTGTGAGGAGGGCTCAGCCTGCCGTGGTGGTACCATCCCCGGGGAGCAAGTCAATCAGCAGCACCCTTCCATGGCCTCTGCTTCAGTTCCTGCTCTGACGTGGACACTGTGACGTGGACATGTAAACCAAGTTTATCCTTTCTTCCCTAACTTGTTTTGGTCATGGTATTTTATCACAGCAATAGAAAACTAAGACAACTATAGAAGAGTATATCGGAAGAACAGCCAGGCCAGCTTTTATTCCCACCACTTGGGAGGCAGAGGCAGGTGGATCTCTGGGAGTTTAAAGTCAGCATGGTCTACGGCGTGAGTTCCAGGTAAACTGGAGCTACACATGAAGTTCTGCCTCAAAAATATATGTATTAGGCATACAACTTAGTAAGCACTAAAACACTCATCAAGGAAACCACCGTAAAAGCCAAAACCTTTTCTTTGCCACCCCAAGAAGCTGGCTCCGTGGTCACACGTCTGCAATCCCAGCACTCAGACAGGGGAACCACAACTTTAAGGCCAGCTTGGACTACACAGCAAGTCTGTGGGTCAGTGTGAGCAATATAGCAAGGCTGTTTTCAAAACCAAAACAAACAAACATACAACCAGACACGACCAGCTATCCGGGAGCTGGCGGACAGCAGCTATCCGGGAGCTGGCGGACAGCAGCTATCTGGGAGCTGGCGGACAGCAGCTATCCGGGAGCTGGCGGACACTCCACAGCCCGGGAGGGGCAGTACTGCTGCCAGCGGTCACACCCAGTTCACAGGGCGGGAGGGGCAGGCACCGCCAACCGCTGTGGAAGACAGCAGTGCCCAGGAGCCCTGACACACAGGCCTGTGATGTCAGCATCTACGTACCACACCGTACATAATGGAACCCAGCGGCGCTGTTTTTAACAGCTCGTGTCCAGTGGAGGATCAGACTACAGGCTACCCATGGCATTTGTGCCATTCTAGAACAATGGTTGCATCTTGACAAAGCACTCACATGAAAACAGCTGTTTAACTTCACTTGGCACACCTGAATCTGTGAAGGACGGGGGCGAGGGGGGGGTCTATTATGGTTTGGATAGGAAGCAGCTCCTCCAAAAGCTCACAAGTCCTGAAAAAAAAATTGGGAGGTGGGACCTAGCAGGAACAAGCATGTCACTGGCCCTGTGTCATCATGTTGTCCCGGCTCATTCTGGTATGCACCCTTTCTGTTCCCTGTGTGCTGTAAGGCAACAAACATCCTCAGTACGTTTCCACCACCAGGGTACTCCACTCGAATTCACGGCACCAGGTAAGCATGGACCAGCACTGAACCTGCACAAGCCAGAACAAAGCCTCCCTCAAGTTGTTCATGTCAGGTGCTGTGGCCACAGTAAGGAAAAGTAATCAATACGTGACTACTCCGGTGTCAGGAAAGAGGAATGAATGTAGGTTCAGGAGGAGCAGAAGCCACGGCTAGGGGTTTGTTGGAACTGTGGGGTTCGTCAGCTGTGCTAGATGGGGAAGACGAAAGAGCAGGACTTAAAGCTAGGGAAACCAACGTTCTTCAACTGAAGATGATGCCAACTGCAGGGTATG